GGCAACATCCTTCTCTAAATTTTAACCCTGCATGGTCCACAAAAGGGTGAGTCAAGTTGAAATGGCAACATCCTTCTCAAAATTTTACCCTCGGGTGGCTCACCAAAGTGTGAATCAACTTGGAATGACCACTTCCTTCTCTAAATTTTACCCCTGCCCACAAAAGGGTGAGTCAAGTTGAAATGGCAACATCCTTCTCTAAATTGTACCCCTGCCTTGCCCACAAAAGGGTGAGTCAAGTTGAAATGGCAACATCCTTCTCTAAATTTTAACCCTGCATGGCCCACAAAAGGGTGAGTCAAGTTGGAGTGACCACTTCCTTCTCTAAATTATACCCTGCCCACAAAAGGGTGAGTCAAGTTGAAACGGCCCATCTTTCCCTAAATTGTACCCTGGGGTGGCTCACGAAAGGGTCAGTCAACTTGGAAGACCCCCTCACGATGCAAGTGTGCGAGCAACGACGAGCACACTTTTCTCTATGGCACGGAGAGCAATATTGGGCAGAAACATTCTGGAGCCAAATGAATTATGCGGAAGCTGACTGAAGATTTCTAACTACCAAAAAAATAACGGACAAGAGGTGCTACACGCGAGCTTAAGGCATTATGATTATGATAATCTTGAAGGTTGAGATGTTATTCTGATGCCGGGCTGGCTAGCATAATATTTGTCAGCAGTAAATCTGCCGGTGAGTACGCGGAGGGAAGGAGGGAGGGAGGGAGGGAGGGAGGGAGAGGGGTAAGTTCCCCAAAGTGGCAGTAGAGTATACTGGACCTGATCCAATTCACCAAGTAAGATCCTCTCACGATGTAAGTGCGCGAGCAACGATGAGCATACCTTCTTTTAAGCCACGCAGTGCAATATTGGGCAGAAAAAGTCTGGAGCCAAATGATTTATGCGGAAGCTGACTGAAGATTTCTAAGCTGACTGATGACAGGGTGCTACACGCGTATAGCGTAGACACGCCTAGGGGAACCTAGGACCCTACAAAACACAGAGAGGGAAGGGGGAGGAGGGATTGGGTGACAACTGTGTGACAACCTCAGTGAAGGCATGAGTGACTAAGTCAGCAAAGAAAGAAGTAAGTAAGTGGTCAGGGTAATGAATGAATGAGTGAATGAATGAATGAATGAAAGAAGGAGTGAGTGAGTCAGTGAGTGAGTCAGTGAGTGAGTCAGTGCGTGAGTGAGTGAATGAGGGAGTGAGTGAGAGAGAGAGAGAGAGTGAGTGAGAGAGTGAGTGAGTGTGAGTGAGTGAGAGTGAGAGTGAGGTTGAGGCAGCACATCCGCGTGTACAGACGAGGCATCTCACGCGCGTGTACAGACGAGTCACCTTGCGCGTGTACAGACGAGGCGCTGGCCATTGCGCCAATAGCCTAGTAGAGTGGATGCCGTCCAAAAGAGAAGAAACATCGTGACTTCTGGTTGGGCCAGGAGGCCCGCAGTCATATCATATCCTCGCGAGGTATGCCAAAAAATGCGAGGTCCCATCACAGATCGGTAAAGCTGCTTGTCATGAAGAACACTTTTCAAGGGATCCAGTTACCACCAGAGGTTCCAAAGACTAAAACCATAGACTTAGGACCCCTGGTTCCTTACAAAGTGGTAACCGGGATGCACTCGGTATGGATTCACTTATACTAATTTCAACCAATCTTCCATGCCCTCGACGAAGAGAGGGGAACTCCCACATCCCCACAAGCTGCTCGCCAAGCTTCTGCCATGGAGCGCCACCACCTGCCGCAAGGACTCGGTCGTCGCCTGGAAACAGCAGAGCGCAGAGCTGGCGAAACAGAGCTGATGGTCATGTGTCGCGAAACAAACCTCTGGCTCTCGAGGTGTTCATCTGAAGGCGACGGTTCGAATCCAGAATCCCAATCCTCGCCCCCAGGTCCTCGGGAGCAAAGTGGTGCTGCGCTAAGGCTTGCCAATCCAAGGCGTTCCAAGCTCGTTCATGGATCGCTGCCTTGTTGTCCAACATCCTCGCAGAAAAGAACCACAAAACTCCACGGAATTTCCAGAGAACATCTCAATGCGAATCTCGGTGTCGCATCCGACCATGGATGTCTTTGGGGATCTGGAGCGACCAAAGGTCCTGTCGGAGCGCCAAACGAAACCCACACGTTGGGAGAGGGTCAAACTTGGCACAATAAGATGGTCAACATGAAGGCTGGTGGATCTGGAATCTGGGGTTATACCTCCCACGGATTCCAACGCATTCGCAGGTGGTGGATCGTCAGGCACGTGCCTGGAACCGAGGGTTGAGGCATTGATTTCGGTGAAGAATGCCAGTCATGCCGCCACTTGGGTTTGCCAGAATCCCAGGGATTCGCCCGAATCCAAGGAATTCATGGAAATCAAAGTGGTTTCAAGACATCCACCTTCCCAGTCCGCCTAACCTTTGCGCCTTCCGTCAGGATCCGCTGCCAAGCATCGCTTTTTGAACGATCATCAGCAGCTGATTGGATCTCAGATGGAAGAATTTGTGACACTTTGGATGGAATTACAACTTGGCACTATGCAACAACGGCATGGATGCAACAGACGGACATGTTTTGCGGAGCAACTCTGACCATATCGGCCCACCACTCCGAAGTGACTGGGGTCTGAGCGGGATCCGCTTGAAGTTACGCCTTAGCCTCGACAGTCCACGCGATTTCGCCACAGAACCGTCCAGTTGTGTTCTTAACATGGAAACGACCCTGCAGAGTGAGAACTTTTTATCTATAGGCTGATGTCTTTTGCGTTCTCTTTCCTGGCTCGTCTATATATACGTATATATATATATAATACATGAACTTGTTGGAAGCAGCAAGTACGCACCACCACCCTGGTGATGTGGGTTGAATCGGACGCAGGAAGAACATCCGAAACGATCACACCACGGGCATCCAGGGGCAAAAAATTACGATTCTGGAATTCACCACTCCAATGGTCGATCAGCTGAGCAACCACAGGGCGAGGGCTGCAGCTGTCAGAAAGTTTTGCTCCTTGGAATGTTTTCTGGTTGAGCTGGACACCTATAGTATACTTTATTATACTACTGTAATACTTCTTGCATCTTCTTGCTGTCATCCGGCTCCATCATGCTCCCAACGTCAAGGAAACATCGAAAAATAGAAAAGAAACAACCCCCTATAAGGGCCCGTAACACCGAGAAAGATCCGCCCCTCTTCATGGCTTCTGGCCTAATTTTGAGAACAACTCATGTCCAAACCAAACAACTCTTGAATCATCACTACCGTCCAACAAGTCTTGGTGACCCTAGATGGTACGACCAGGTACGGGTAGCTTCGTTCTTCACCTCGATCCTTTCCAGAAACCTGCTCTTTGAATTGCGAAGACCGGAGACCGAACAAAAACATACAAAAAGCATATAAACATATCTAAACTCTTCTCGCCAAATCAAACGAAACCGGCTCCAACGGAAAATGGGTCAACGCCGCGGGTGTGGTTGAAACCGTCCCCGAAAACGATGCCGAAAACATCGCCGCTCCTTCTTAAAGGTCTCCGTCTGATAGATCAGGGCCTTGGGTTCGTCACACCGCCGTCGTTCACGACGGTCGCGTTTCGGACGAAAGGTCGCGTTTCGTGGGGTGGCGGCGGCTTTTGGGCGGCGGCTCCAAACAGATCCACAAGTGGGGGTGCCAAGTTGGAGATCTGGATCGTCCTCTTCTCAAGTCTCTGGAACAAAGATGCGTGTTGACTTTCTTCTTCGAACATTGAGGCCTTTGGGGCCTTCAGAATGATGGACAAATTGGCCAAAGCACTGTCGCGAGCTTTTGGCAGCAAGCCTCGATACCTCATGGTGCTCGGTGCAGATGTTTCAAAACCATTGGTCATCTAAGCAGGGGGAAGGAGTCTCACAGTTTTAGATATGAATCTTTATGAATCGATTGATAGTACAAAGCCCCTGCGGAGGCCAACGAGTATGTTCTTGCAGCCCTACACTACACAAAAATGGCCCAGTGTCATTGACGAAGCTACTTGGGTGTGTCCCAAAGACCCCAAGGAAGAAGGAAAATAGATCAGTCTACCCATTGGGCCAGTCTACCTTGAAGCCCCTGCGGATTTTCATTCTTTTTGGGATACTACAAACTCTAGGTTGATGGCTGTGTCGAGTTCTGGCATTCCGCAATCGATGACTTCACCGGATTTGGCCACTTTTGTTCGGGGGACCATGTGTTGCTGCAGCTTGGGAATTTGGTGACGGCGTTGAAACCATTTTCATTTGGTGAAACCTTCGTGCCTTGGCTACCAGGGGAACAACACACCAGTTTGATCGAGATTTATGTGGCTTTTTATCTGGATTCAAAACTATGATGCCGGTGTGCTTCAACTCTTTGAAAGGACGGAAGAGGAGGGGTGGTTCGTGCTGCCTACTTCCTGATGAGAGTGTGAGGGCTGACTCGGCCACGCCGACATGTCCAGTCGAGATGTTTTGTGCTGTTTCTTTAAAATATTGTGGTTGACGGAATTGTTTCAATGCAATTAATTTTCATGCTATCGTGGGTCGGTTCAGAAGCTCAGATGTGTGAGCCAGAAAATCCCTTCACAAGAGCGTGTCTCGCGGGCTCTGTGGGATTGTTTTCATAAAGTTGCACAAATCCACACTCAATTTAAAGCATGTTTGACGCCCAGTATAGTTGGTGCCTACTCCTCTCCAATATCATGTCTAGTGTACGCGATGCTGACACTTGCCACCTCCTGCGTGGCAGGTACTGAACTGCAAGGGCCAAGATACGCCAGGGCCAGGGGATCTCCTTTTTGTTAAAAACCAAATTTAGGTTGGTCATCTTCCATTTCGCTTCCAGCATGACACCGTTTGGATGCTCAATCGTCGGCCAAAGGTGGCGCGCGGCCCCAATGGCAAACCCTTACCACACAAGAACCACAGGTGTGTCGTGTCTCGCCTCAAAAACGGACCCCCCAAAGGTGTGTTCGCCAGATTGTTCGCCAAAGCTTCTGACTTCAAAAAGTCGCTCTCTCTGTCTCTCTCTCTCTCTCATGTCAGTTAACCTTCTAACTCCGTCGGATGTGTTTGTGCCTCCAAGTTGCTGGCAGTGCGGTTCCCATGGGGCCAACAACCAATGGCCTCCGAGATGCCCCAACCGGACTTTTCGGTGTCACCGTGTCCTAGCCTTGCTTCAGAGCAGCTTTTCAAACCGCAGCCGAAAACCGGCTGCAACCTTTGATTGATCAAAAACCGTCAGACCATCCATGGTCAGACCCGTCGCGACGGGTCGTGAGGAGACGAACACCGTCCAGCAAGGTGACCAAACTCAGCCTCGCTCGAACCCCGATGGCATGCGATGGCGACGAGAAGAGAGCGGGCGAGAGAGAGAGGCCCTGGGACTGTGGTTCGTTCTACGACAAAAGAGGGTGAGTTCAGGATGTGGTTGCTGGATGTTGCTGGCAGATTTCAGCGAATCGAGACAGGAGAAGCTATGAGATTTTATACACAACCAACTGCAACATCGTCACATCGAAGACTCCAGAGTCACAACTCCTGCTTCCACTCCTCCTTGAAGGCATGGATACAGGCCAAAAAGGCCGAACATCCAGACCTGCACTTCAGTAGTGAGCCATGAGGACCAAACTCCCAATCCGCGAGGACACTTCGGTAAATTAAGGAACATGAATCACCAAGTGCACTTCGGTATAGATTAAGGAACAATCCATTAAATTAAGGAGGAACACTTCGGTAATCACCGTCTGTCTCTCCTTCATCCGATTCCTCCATGCTTCCATCGCAGCTTCCCCGAGCCCTCCATGGACCCGTGGCCTCGGCGGCACAGCACTTCACCAGGTCGCCTCCGGACGCATCCGCGCAGGGACCTTCGGACGCCACCTTTGCGGCGATCTCCTCCAGCGGAAACGTGCACGGAAACGCACACAAGGGTTCTCGTGCATGGTTCTCGCATGGATCACCAGAAGTGGGACTTGGGAAAGTTGTCTAAGCTCTTTTGTTCCCAAAGATGCTTGGCTCAGGATGAAAGAGGACACGCACTACTCACTACTCCTCTGGTCTTCATAGAATTTCATGATGTCTCAGGCACAAACTTCTTTAACCAGGTTCTTTAGTTCCTGACCGAACTTGAGGCCGCCAAACAAAGGTCCCTCCACCAGGTTCTTTAGTTCCTGACCGAACTTGAGGCCGCCAAATAAAGGTCCCTCCCCTCAACCCCCCTAACGAACTGAAGAACAGATCACCAGCAGGGAGCGGCAGGTGTACTGAGTGTACTGTCTTGGCTCCTTCACCACGTTCTCGACCTCTGCATGCTGGTGCCTGAAATGGGAGACCTCGGTGGAGCTTATCGAGTTGCAATATCTTCAAACAGCAATCATTGTACACTGGTTTCAGAGTAGATGGCACAAACCGCAAGATGGCTTTTGGATGGGGGATCCATGAAAAACACCGTTCGGGGATTGTGCCATCTACTATAGTAGCAACATAATCCCTCACCAAATAGATCCTTTTTTTCACCCTGACCCGGACCCCTTCATGTTCCCTAGAAAATAAAGGTATATAAACCTTTTCCACCTGTTCTATCATTGGTGGGAGAATGAATTCCCAGAAAGGTTCAAGGTTATCCGCTGACTGGGTAGGATGCACAACACTGTGGTGCCATTGGTCATCTGTTTTACCTACCGAGATGTGTCTCAAAACCAGCAAGAGAATGCTATGCTACGAAACGGCTGAACCGACCTTCGATCAGGATCCTCCTAGGTCCCCAACAATCCATGTTTGGCATATTTGCCTGCATTGGGGTGGTTTTGAGATGTGTATAGGGTCAACGTATTATAGGTTAATATTCCAGTCCCATATGGATTCTTGGTGATATGGACTCATATTGGATCCTCCTGGAGTCAAGAGTCACAAACCTTCAGCTGCCCATCTTCAATTGTTTCGAAGAAACTTTCTTCCCGTTGGACCCGACCCTCGAGCGCCCGGCGGAGCTTGCCGCTGCGGCGACGAGGGCCACCGCCCGTCCGGCATGGCGCATGTTTCAGGACGCGTCGCCGTTTCAGGACGGGGAACGCTTGGAAAAGCTTGATGCTGTCAGGGGTGCACTTCTGTGTACTGCTGGACCCTACAAAGATGCACAAAAACAGGTCGTGCAGAGTTCTTGTGCCATGCAGTTGTCGTTGGTGACAAAGGCCAGGTGAAGACATTCTGAGCTACAAGTCTATCTACCGGTTGCCTTCAAATCCAACAATTATTCAAGCCCTCCATTTCTTGCAGGGCAGCAGTGCTGCCATAGCACCCTGAAGGCACGAGTCTCATGATCAGAAGACCTCGATCTGGGCAGCAAACAGCCAGGACTACCTCAATTCTTGAAGCTCTGAGTGGCTTCGGAACGCAAATGGTCTGCTGCATTGATCACTTTCCAAACGTCCGCTCCAACGACCATCTTGACGGTGCTAAAGCACGCCGCATCCGATCGGATGCACCATGATGCACCCCCAACGGCCCCGACGACCCCGACACCGCACCACCGCTCTTTTCGGAGCGCCGGACCTCGAGACGAAGCGCCTGACCTCGCCTTTCGGCGGGTCACCGGACGCCACGACCGGACGGCAAGGCTTGGCCTTTTGTGAAACGGACTCGAGACGTGGGTTTGGCGTCGGGCGATTTGAGAGTCCAGTCTGTCTTGAGGGAGTGCAGGTCTTCCAAAATGTGACTAGAAATCTCTGAAAGGATATTCAGTCACTTGCTATCATCACGCCCTGCAAGTGCTGCGACCCACCTGCGGTGCTCCGTGCTACACCCGCACCGTGGACGTGGTCCCCAGTCCAGGACATCAACCAGCGGGAGGCCATGGGAGGCCATGGGAGGCCGTGCAAAAACAAGATCGGCATCAACAAAGATACTGACTATATCGGAACATCGGTCCGACCGATGGCAAAAAGGAAGATTTGTGTGGGGTTGTGCTGGTTGGTGCTGGACAATTCTTTTGATATTGCCTGGTTTGTGCTGACTATATCAGGTTATTTGTGCTTTGCTTCTTTGTGCCACAAGTCTTGCAGTTCAATTCTACAGATTCTACCGCCGAGGCGAAGGGATGGTAAGGTCGACTGAGAATACACATATACAATATGAAGCAATAGGACTTTGGGACTCGGAAAGCAGGATTCACATGGATTCGGGGCGTGTCTTCATACCAATGTTCGATCAAGCTCTGGGTTGGGGACTCTATCTGACAGATTCTGACACTTGTTTGTGCATGACTTGACTAGGTTGCTACAGGTGGAGTGGTTGACAAAAAAAGAACCACTTCCTCCCATACTGCACATCCTCCAGCGCCAGGGACCGACGATCAAATCGTTCTTCCACGGAGGGCATCACGGGTTCGTGGGTGTGTCTCAAACGCTTTGGGGGGGTCATTGTCTTTTGCACCACCTGGAACTACCAAAAGACCATCCTTAATACTGCATGAGGTGTTCTCTGTGTAATGTGTGTGTGTGTGTCAGCCAGTTGGTGCTAGTGTCTTTGTTCCATGAACAGTAGAGGCGGAAATGAATCACCAACCCTCATTTTTGTGACAAACCCATGTCAGAATTGGGCCGATGTCGGAAGATGTCGGAATACTCTGATGCTTGGAATATTTTACACAGCCTCGATCTCTGCACACCTCAATAGCCGCTTCACCAGAAGAGTTGCAACCGCCCGAGATTTGAGCTATTCTAAGCTATTCGCAAAGCTTGTGCGTTTCTCTTTTGGTTCTCATTTCTCACGGTTCTCCCCCCCCTTCCTACGTACTGTTCCCTCGAGCCATGCCACCCTCATCATCGCTCTTGAAAACCAAGAACCCCCGGTTCTGTTGCTGCGCTCCATGTCTAAGTCAGAATCCCTCGTCGCATGTGTCACAGCATCGGCCCAACTCCAACAACTCTGGGGATGAAAAAAGATCAGCGCAAGGACTGAATTTCTCAGTGTCGATTCCATGGCCGGGCCTTCCCGGCCCGTTGTGCGGCACCGATCGGAGCAGATGAGTTCGGGACATCAGGATCGGAACCACGACCAGACCGAGGGCCGGTTTGCCATAACCGGCCTGTGGTGTTCGGCGGGTTTGCCAGACCGGAGTTTGGCCACAGCGCCTGGATGCCCCAACAGAAACAGGTTGCTCTCACTTTTGACTAGAAAGCAAGAAGAACCTTGAACACCATGAGGCAACACATACCAACCAAACATGGCCGGAAAAGAAGACGTGCTCATCCCACCTGAGCATCTGTGGCTAATCTGTCACTGAGCCGGGTTGAATACGATGTCACTGTGGGTTAAGATGGTCAGCCTGGTGAGCAGTGGATCAACAAAGGCGAGTGCTTGGAGGGGATGTTCTCTCCAAATGAGCGGACAATCAACCGTATGGAGAGGAGATTGACGCTCTCATCGTCAAGATGTGTACCAGGTACCATACTGTACCTATCATACTCTACTGTAAGCATTTCTGACCAGCATATAGTATTTGGAAAGAGTCTATCATGAATACGCTTGATCTTGCGCCCCTCATTGTCGAAACAACCAAGATTCGCAAAGCGCGAGCTCGTCAAGCCATGAAAAGCCCATATTCCCTACCATGGATTTATCCCTGTCAATCCGAGATGTTCCAGAGGATGTTCTAGATAAGGAAAGATCCTTCATGATCCAAACTTAACTAGTGGCCAAACAGTGATCTTCTCGCAGTGCCGGAGCTGAAAAAACACCGGCATCAGTGCACCTGTCGCTGCTGGCGAATGGTGAGTCGAAAATATATCCAGACCTGGTCCTCTAGAATCTAGAAAATGGCCGTGCTTCCTTCCACCAACCACAAGTTAATTTGTTGATCTGCTTCGTTCTCCTATTGTGACCTTGGGGTCCGGGCCGAACTCCAATAGCCAAAACGGTGTGAGAGTATGCAACACCGTGAACAATCTCAATCTGTTCGCAACTGTCAATCCGACCGAGAAACCGCCTCAACCGATCCTGGGAGTCCACATGTGTCCACCGAAACTCAACTGGATGGATCCACCCGCGATTCTTTGGATCCTGCGATGCAAAATTGCTGCGATTCCTTCATCCCTTCATCGCCGCACTTCGGCATTTCGAAGTGGACTTTCGTCGAGCTATTTGGGTCCAAAACGAAGCTCAAGCTTCGAGCCATGCTTGGACATCTTGTGTGGGTTTTGACCCACAAGCTGAGCCACAACCATAAATGAAAGTGTTGCAAAACAAGGATACTTGGACACCCCAACCGCGTGGGTCGGTTCACTGCACAGGCACATCCCCGCTTTGATTCACATTCAGCTATTAAGTACATGTATTCATAATATATATATATATATAATATATATGCATATAATACATGTGTGTTTATCAATTAAAGATCACTCATCCACTGATCCACTACATTGCCACCCCCGGTGGCAGTTTCCACCTTTTCCCGGCCTAGTCTGAAACGGGAATGCCGCGTTCTTCCCGCATCACCATCTGGCACGGATCGGAACGCTGACCCCTGGCGTCGCCTCCTCGCTTCCTAGCCCAATGAGTGAACTCCGTCTAGTCCAACTGTTATTCAAATATATTCAAGTGATTCCTCTGAGTAAATGGGTGGCTTGACTCTGAGTTGAGGGGCCTCCGGATTTGAAGAAAATGCTGCTCCTGAGTCTGGGCATTGGTATGTAACTGTATCCTGAATCGCCTTCCAGCAAAGGTCACTCTGTATAGTTTCTTCTTCCGCCAAAGTGAAGGTCATGCACAGTGTTCACCTTCGAATTGGCCAGGGGATAAAGGTTTGGTGCTCTGTCCGAGTGACGCACTTGTCGAGATGCCACACTCTCGGCCAGTCGCTGGGATGGGGAACACACGGGGCCCAACCCCAACCGCTCGCGGTGCCATCGGTCGCGGCATGTCACCCTCGGCCTTCAATCGTAGCACCACGCGTCGAACGCGCTCAGACACCTGTGGCGTTTGAGCACGGGTGGGGCTTCTCTTCTAGCTCACCAGGGTTTCCTCAAGATTCCCTGAAGAATGAAAATCAAGTTAACACGAAAGTACGCCTGCGAATCCAATCGAAAAGTGCAATCCTATCGGTCCTAACGCGCGGACACAATAGTATGTAGAATCAACTTTGCACAACGACTGCATCGCCATTCGCCTCCCAACCACTGAAACAATATTCCTCTTCTTTCCCCACCTGATCCCCACAGGGCGATCTTGTAGCCCTCCACACTGCGAGGTGCGACGACGACGCGGGCCTTTGCGGACTGCTCCTCAGGAGGCGAGGCCTCCTCGATCCACAGTTGAAGCCAATTCTGCACCTCAGGCGAAAAAGAGACGGTGGACGTTCTGGTTGTCTTCGCCCACACCGGCCCGGGCTCGAAAGGAGCAGCGGCTTTGGCGACCACGCGACGTCACGACCACCACGACCCGGTCGTTCCACCGGGATCGTTCGACCGTGCACGCCTCTTTCGACCGGGATCGGAGTGGCGAGTGCTGCGTGGTCACGCCTTTCTCGTGGTGAATAGACCGGATAGAGCTGAAAAGCACACAGAGAAGACACGTAGTCTGCGAACATTGAGAGTAGTGGAAGCAGTGACAAGTGGATTTCCAGGAAATGGTTGAAAGAAACATGTTGTATAAACGGGAACTTCAACCGTTCCAATCCAGAGGTATAAGCCCGGGTGCTGGATTTCTTCAGGGTAGATGATAGACAGGAAATGAATAAGCACTCTAGAATCACTCAGAGTGTTTCCTGAACCGCAAGTGCTTAAAACAGGGTCAAGTTTAAGCAACATGTGTGTCCCTTTCACAGCAATGCTTAGCAGGGTCTGTGTGCAGTTCAACTGCCAAACAAATGCACATGACCTTGGTTGCATGATGTTCTATGAGTCCTGTGAATGATTTGACTATAGATACATATAGATACTATAGCTCACACATCTTGACCCACAAGATGAAGCATCAAAAAAGCCAGCTCACCTGCAAAACTGTTGGCCAAAATCTTTGAGCCCGTGAGGATAGCAAGCCATCATCTAGAAACAACCTTTGATCAGCAGTGTTGACTACTCGTTCACGGCTAGCCCAATCCATCAGTGACCGATGGCCTGGCCGTGTTCGTTCACACGGCGGGCAGGCTCCAGACCCCGAATCACCCCCTTCAGTCTCCTCAAACCATAAGAATCGAGCCGGCAATCACAAGTGTGGTAAAGGCATGTATATAAAAGCTGTACGATCCAGTCCTGGCGAAAGTCTTGGAAGGTCTGGGAAACCAAAAAGAAATGAGCATCAGACATATCATATAGTGAAGATTGTAAGGGGCTCTAAGTTTTCCACTATAGGCCAAGTTAGGAAAGTTTGAGCGCATCCAGTCTTTCCGTAAGGATTTTAACACCCCTTGCATTTCTTTGTTGTATCTCCAGAATCAGTTAATCAGTTCGCCTCTGTCTCTTTTCGAACGGATACTCCCAGTCCTCTGAGCTGTCCCAGTTCTCCGAGCCGTCCCAGTCCTCCGAGCCGTCCCAGTCCTCTGAGCTGTCCGGCATTAATGCCCAAGTGATGCGCCAAGTGATCAAGCTGCAGCCGGGGCCGTTGGCCGTTCGTTCGCGGCGCTGGAACCCTTCTTCAGTGGGAGTCGGATCGAATTGGTCAGTTTCCTCGTTGGACCAGGAAAGAAGACCAAGAAAGTGTGGAGTCTACACATATCTTCAAATCTCCATTCGCTGTCTGGAGGGAATCCTGCATGAAGAATGTTCACAGCTTGCATGACTTGCATAGAGTTGATAGGACCATGCCCAAAGCAAAAAGGATCGGCAGGAGGGTTAAACTGTAACTCATGCAAGCATATGGTCAAACACATGATGCCAAACAAACACACGTGGTTCACATCTTTGAGACAAGATGTGACCAGTTCGCTCCTCTCCCTACTCCCTCCTCCTATCAAAACAACCATAGACTGGGACTGGGATTCAAAAGATTGAAAGCGAATAATTAAGAGTCCATTAAACATCTAAAAGCATCTAAAGACCACCCATAAGGAGTTGTCATCTCCGGCCCCTTTCTCCATATTCCTATCCTATCTTAGGTCTGGATCTCCAACCATCCAAACCGACTCCCCAACTCTCCCTGGTCCGAAAATCAAAAGAAAAACAGGCTTTGTGAATGTTTTTCCATGTTTTTTCCCCCCAACCTGTGGGAAGATGTTGGTAATGGACTCCGCCATGGGACAAATCACAAACTCGATGAAGCCCACCTGTCAAGCGCCGAAACCGGTCACGCGACCGGTCGCGCGGGACCGCGGAAGCGCGCGGAACCGCGGGACCTGAAGGAGTGTGGACTGGGTGGCGACCGGGTATGCTTTTGAAGGCCCAAACCTTGGGCCCTGAAGGAAGAGTTTTGATAGGATCTTTTTGAGCCAAATTTTGGTTGCTTGATGTTGATCGGTGACTTGATTGCACAGGGTTTCAGATGGTTTCAGAATCACCTTTGAAGAGGAACATGTTGCCAGGCTTTCCACTTTCAGAACATAACAAAAGCACGGTGGATCCAAACATGCTCCACAGAGGTCCTCCCCCCTGCCTTCCCTGAAACGGTCGAAACCGTGCGGTTTCACCGTGCCTGTGAGTTGGGTCTATTGACCTTCTCCCGGTCATTCAGCATCTGCACTGGGATGCCTCTCTCTTTCTCCATGTCTCCCTGGCGAGTGGGGAGTGCAATAGATGGTCAGGCCGACTATGTCAGGCCGACGATCATAGTCAGATAGTCCTGATAGAAGTGGAAGGACCTTTCGGTCGACCACGTAGATGCACCCTCTCAGTTTGTAGAGTAACAGAGTCATGACCGAAGAATCTGCAGCATCAGCTGCTTCCACACCAGGAATCTGCAGCGTCAGTGTGTGTCTTGAAATCGGATCTCACCAGGTCACCAGACACCGAAGCAATTCAATGTGGCACCCTCTCAGGATTCGTCTCATCATGTCATGGCACATCCTGCTCATGTCCTGCATCCCGGTTTGCCCGGTTTCCCCCCCACCCTGGCTGTCCGTCCTGTGCAAAGAACTCATCTAAGCACAAGTGAGCCAGCTCATAACAGATCTCCCACGGCCTCGCTACGGCGGTAAAACCTACAAAGCAGTTACGTGACTTCTCATGGTTTTCCCAGGAGATTGGTTGTTCTATGATGTTCCAAAGAAGATTGGCCCAATCATATTGGTTGTTCTATTATGTTCTATCTTGGTTTTCTCAAGATTGGCCCAAAGAAGTGTTTTAAGCACCAGCCATCGACATTCGCCAGGCACTCTCAAACAACTGCTGTCTGGATGGGTAATATTTAACACCACGCAGGAATCCAGAATGCAAGCAAATAGTGCATCGAATCTAATGTGCATACGTCTGGTGCAGAACATTGACATCGATTGTGCTTCGCTACAGTACCCACTAAACACAATTTGAAGCCGTGGTAGCATGTAAGTAGCATGTGAACCCCTCGTGCAGCTGCCACAGTCATCCTAATTACCCAATATGATTGGATCTCCCATGATGTCGCCTCTCTGCCTCCCGGCGAAAACCGGTGGTACCACGTTCGAATCTTCCGTTCTCCCTGCGCGTCCCGGCTTCATCGGATTCCCGATGTCCGCGCAATGCAACAGGGCATTCCTCGGCTCCAAACCGCATGAGCTCGGCCAACCGACCCGTCGACGGAATCGGGTCGGTTCAAGCGAGGTCGACGGCGAACGAAAACGGGTGCCACGGGTGACCCGTGAACCAACGCCTGGGCCGTGGAGTTCGGGTCTTTTTTGAAGGGAAAAAAGACGCTCTCAGCCCAAAGTGTGACTCAAACGACGCAAACGAATCTGTGGGATGGGTTCTTTTTGTCAATGCCTCCGTCGGTCCCAAACGGTGGAAACACCAGGGTGAGTCGTGGAAACACGACGGCGACGGAGGATTTGCAAATGAAACTGGAGGCACTAAGATTGTGCTTGCTTAGAACCTATGACAGAGAGAAGCTGACAGCCAATGGCGCATTTGAAAGACATAGTAAAAACAGCAGAAGCATATGACTGACAGCTGTGTAAGTTTAGAGGTGAGGGCTTTCCATCTCGGGACCTGTGTCACGCGCACCCGGCCGGGAAGAATTGTACGGAGCATGAGGGAGCAAACAACAAACAGGCCCTGCAAACAACAAGCAATTCCTTTGCACTGTAGCTTCAGCTGCCATGCCTTTTGCCAAGCACACGCTCGGGGCCCGAGAGTTTTTCACCCTTTTCATCCCCCAAAATCCCTCTTCTCAACGGAGAGGAGCTCCACCAAGTCAACGGACAACGCCAAACGCTCAGTTCGCTCGCTCCACCGAGTCGCATCAGAGTCTGGCACGTCCCAGCCGAGCTTTTGATCTGGGCGGATCCGCGGACGAGTCCGCGTCGCGTGTGGGTGTCCGGGTGAAGGCCTTAAAGGGGAGAAATGAAAGGCTCGATCACTGATCCTAAAATGTCGCGTACTTGCCTTCTGACTCAAGAAACTGAGACCAGCGACACCAGGCATCATGCCATGCCATCCATCACCAGTCTGGAGCGAGTCTCGCCACCAGTCGGAGACCCCATCCACCCTCTAAGAGCACCAATCCAAAGGAATGGGACTCCGGGCCACGCTTTCCGGCTTCAGACTGTCCAGGGCGTCAGAGTTCATCTGGTACAGGAGACTCAACTCCTGCAAAAATTGGGTCAGGTCGACCCGCCATCGCCCGGACCAAACTACTCGACGAAGCAGTAGCCAAGATGGCGGGAAAAAAGGAACGTCGGAAAAGCAGAAGCTCCATCCTATATAGATTCTATAGGTTTCTTCAGGATTTCTATAGGTTTCCTATATAGATTCCATAGGTCCATCCTATATATATATATATATAGAGATTCTATGGGTTTCTTCAGTGAAAATGGATGGATTATATACTTGGATCTTCCACCTATGCAAATGGTCTGCCTTCTGGCTCGCTTTGTGGACAAAAAGGCATAAATTAATCAGTGTTGCATGCTTGGAAGATCTGGGTAGAGTTTTCTGTGGGGGTGTATTTCTATTTTGCAGACCCGCGACCAATGGGTAGACTGGTCTACGTTCCTTCCAGGGAGTCGTTGCCGGGGGTCGGTCTCCCTACTTTAACCATACCCATTGCCAGGATCGCTCACCGATCTTGGAACTCTGTGGATCCTATAGGTTTCCGGGTGACGCGAACTGGACATGGCGATCTGGACGTCAAGGTTGGAGCAGGTTCGTCAAGGCCGATTAGTCCGTCAGACGGCCTTTTCTTTGTGTAAGACCACACGCGACCTTCCTCAAGAGGCTGTGCCTAAAGTCTATTCAGAAGAAAGTACTTACACACACAAAAAATAAAAATAAAAAAAATAAAAAAATAAAAGGCGCATGAACCCCGTTTGATGGATACTTGAAGACTCCAGGACGAGCAAAATGAATGTTATCAAAAAGGCCCAAGTCACCCACATCATCCCACGTCTCCCATGAAGAGGCGCATGTCATCCCACCTTGATCATCTCATTATGCTTCACCATGTCCGTATGGAGGATGGCGGCAATAATCCCTTTACCTGCAGTCCAACACATGTCACCGCTCAGGGTTCGGACGGCCCCGGCCAGGTCGTTCCTGGTCGGCCGAAGGAGGGGGGGCCTCCCATCCTCGAACATGAGTAACATGAGAGAACTTGGTTCATCCCAACAGAACAACAGAAACTCCATTCCCAAGGCCGTGTATGTGTGTGTGCGTGTGTCCTGAGCATGCTTCACTTAGAGAAGCAACACCTGAAGTGCCAAAGCAACTATTTCGCTGAAATTGAACATCGACAAGTTTCGCACTTCGCTGAGTTTGAACATCGACAAATTTTAACTTTATCCTGGGCTATAGCATTGACAAATCAAACATCAGGTATCTAGTGAAAACAAAACCGGACCGAAGAGTATTTTCGACGTCGCCGGCACCCGGGTTCTCTGCGTGAAGTGTTGCAAACCCAAGCCAGCCCGGCAAGATCGGTGGATTCGTCTGACCTGAGTTCCTTTGGACGGAAATGCGACCAAATCGTCGACTGAGACCCCGGGCGCATTTCTTTATATGTGTCCTGGCCACGTGATGAGTGGAATGGAAGATGCTTACCAGGGATCCTGGTTGCATGTAGGGGAAGGTTTACAATCCATCTCGCCAACATGTGCAACATTACATGGCCGAAATGACTCTAGTATGAGTTCTTCCCCATCTCCAACAAATACAAATAGAAAGATTGACATCCATAAAGAGAGACATCTTGTCACTACTCTCGTCCCAACGGCCCCGAGGACCAGACCTTGTCCACATTGCCGAAGACGTTCGTCTCCGGCGATGAGTGGGCTACTTGGAAGAGCCTGGACTCCGCTGTCACGGCGGAACATCACCACACGCAGGTGGGAGCCGGAAGCAAACTTTCAGACTTCGGTGGATCTTCGCATGTTCCATCCTAGTCCCATGCGGGCCCACGCGGAAACCTGCGTGGAGCTTGACATTGGACACTCGAGAAAGTGCTGCCTGCAACGAAGCTAGTCTGTACCCGTGTGCCAAGCCATTGTTCTTGCATGGCTGCCAGCAAACACCCCAAGCCACGTGACTCTCGTCAAGGGTGCCATTGGGAGCCCCTTGTTGTGGCTTTATCAACTAAAGGAGATTCTTGTCTAGAAAGCAAGAAGCAAACGTTGGGTCCAATCGGACTGCTTGATCAACTAAAGGAGACTCTTGTCTTGAAAGCAGGAAACGTTTATTACACCCTCCCTTTCGCTAGCTTCATGATCAAGGCGAACTAGCTTCGTCCGACGGGTTGCAGAAGTAAGTCGCAACGCACCCAAGCAACATCCACCCAAAGCAACCCAATGTCTTCGCAATGCTGGACACTCACAGATTGTGGTGTCTCATCCTGCATTGGGCGTCTCATCCACAGATTGTGGCGTCTCATGTCTTGCAAAACGTTCCAGGCGAAAAGTTGCGATCACAAGAAAGAGATGCGATCAGGGCCTGGTTCCAGATGCCCGGCTTGACTTCGAACGTTTTCAGATCGTGTCAATCTCTGATATAATATATATATATATATAACTTTTATATAACGGTAACAATATATTCATATTATAAAATAAATAAGTAAATAATGAAAACAGAGTTTCGACGTTACGGAACGCCTTTTCTCCTTGAGCCAAAACACGTCATGAGTCACGTGTCTGCAGTACTCTAGCGGAGTATTTATGGGCTGTACATGCAAACACTCCTCCTCTTGCAAAGCACTGTACTGCTGCGCAAGCTTAAAGAAAGTATATGAAACTTCCCGCTGCTGAGCCACTTTCAGTTGTGGTAGTGGAGCTTGGCCAGGGACCTTACTCCAAAACATCCAACTGTCCTTTGCTTCGCTTGCTGAGGAATGCATACTGCAGGTCCTCCATGGTTTTGCGAAGCTGCACCCCAGGGACCGATTTGGTCAACACATCGGCTTTGTTCTTGACACCTGGAACGTGGTGCACTTTCAAGTGGCCTTCGGCAACCCTTTCTTGCAACCATAGGTAGCGAGTTTGGATGTGTCTGGCTTTACCCAAACCCACTCGGTTCACAGTTCCTTTGGCTGCGTTGGAATCGCCTTCTATGGTGACTCCCAAATCCAAGCCAAGATCTGCGCATAGGCTTTGAAGTCCTAAGCCCGCAGATCCTCCCTTCACAAGTGCGTAGTATTCGCTCTCGCCTGTGGAAAGGGCTATGGTGGATTGGATGTTACTGCTGTGTTTTAGCACGTGTGTGCCATAAATGGCAACCATGCCAGTCGTGCTCTTGCGTGTCACAGCATCTCCACCGTGGTCGGCGTCAACCTGGACCCTCAGCTTCGAGGGTACCTGCTGTGAGCCAAAACATTGCCCAACATCAGGGTATTTCTTCAAGTACCTGATGAGACGTTTCAAGTCTGCAAGTTTGGCTTCTGTCGGCGACACCATACCTCGAGCAAGGTTCTTGACTGCGTGTCCAATATCGAGTCGATCTTGGGACAGATACGCAGCACGCATCGTAGCTGAACGATACTTTGATGCCTCGCTCTTATCAAGCAGCGGACTGCGGCTTTCCAGCATCTGCTGATCTGCCGACTTCTTGACATCTGGTGATTCCACACCGTTTGCCTTTTCCAGGCCAAATGCCTGGATCAAAAGATCAACATGTCTCCGATCGGCTTCGATCACAATCGATCCTTTGCCGTTCTTCCTTTCGACTCGGATCAACCGATTCAGGAAATGGGCTTCTGTTCGGTCTCCATCCTCGTCTCCAAGAATTCCAAGACATTTCAGCTCATAGGCATCTTTGAGGACTTGACTAAGCTTCTCCAAGTGTTGAGAGTCTCCAAGTGCTAGGAAGTCATCTCCATGCACCATCACTCTGACGTCCCAAGCTTCTTGGTAGAAGACTGACGCATTCGACAATCCTCTGCGGAAACCAGCTTTCTGCAGAGTCTCTGTGTAGTGCGTCTGCCAGATATTTGGAGCGTCCTGTGTCCCATACATCGACTTCGCGAGAAGTCCACAGGTTTGTCCATCTTTACTGGCTTCGTCCTCAGGCGGCAGCTCTATGTAGATCTTTCTCTTCGGAGTTCCATAAAAGTGTGCTCGTGAGATGTCCCACAAGCCTAGCTTCAGCGGCTGGTTGTGGCAAGACTTTCTCTTTGTTGCCCACAACGAGCACAGCAGTCTCATCGCCTCTAATGGGGGCGTGCTGCTGAAAAGCAAGTTGGCTGGCAATTGTTCTTCTTTGGTCTTTCTTGCCTTGATCTCACGCACAACTAATCGGCTCCTATAGTTCGGGTTTGTTGGATCTCCCTTGTTGGTGTCCAACCATCTGACTGGAATCGGGGGCTTCCCCGTTTCCTCAAAACATTCGGCTCTCGGCCGAGGCACATAAACACCATGCTTTTCTTTCAAATAATCCATCTCAAGGCGCCTTGCCTCTTTTACTTTCTCGGCTGGCAAAATGCCGCCGTTCACATCATCCATGTAGACTTCTTCGAACTCAGGTTCCACCAGAGGCATCTCTGGAACTGGGCCTGCTGCGAACAGATCGAAGGTGTTCAACTCACCTTTCTCTGCTAGTGTGTCACGCAGGCTCCTCAACACTGCTTTCACAAGCTGCGGTGGGTATACCGCGGCCTGTCGAGCAATGCCTCCGATCAGATGGATGTGTCGGTGCCATGGTCCTTTGCCCGATTCATTCGAGCAGACTCCTTGCAGGACTCGAGCCAACCCTTCATCGTTGGTCATCCAACCGGTCTCCTTTCTAACATAGCCGGTGCCTTGGAGTCCTCTTCGGTCGGTGGCCATCATCTGCCACCTGCACATTGGACCTTTCACCACAAACACTCCATCTTCTTTTGCTAAGGCCTCAACCTTCTCATCCTTCCAGCTGGTTGCGGCCCATGGTGCCTCGTGGAGGAATTTTCGTCCAGAGCGATGCTGCTTGACATACAGCTCTACGCTCGTATGAAGGTGATGGACGGCTTCGTCCATTTTCCTCCTCCTGACATCCGGTGCCATGTTTCTCCAGTTTAGATTCTGGAGCTGCGAGAACATATGGCACGGAGGCGATCCGGTCAAGAGAGCCGGTTCGTCTCTCTCTAGGATGTTGTGCACCTCTAGGACATCTTCGGACTTGTTCAAGTCCCAGTATGTTCCATCACTTTTCATTTCATTCAAGTCGACCGCGAAACCCGGTCGCAACTTGTACCGCTCTGCAAGCGCGGTGAACCTCTTGCGCGAGTAGATTTCCATGACATCTACTGCCGACATCTGCATACTCAAATGCGCGATGTCTCCGATCTCTTGCTCAGTGATCTCGATGCCATTTGCCTCATAGGTTCCTTGAATGATCTTCTTCAGATGCTGCTTTGCGATCTCCTTCTCTTTTACCAAGCTTGCTGCATCTGGCTTCCACCCTGCTGGTGGTGTTTCTGGAACATGGGAAAACTGAGACGTTTTCTTTGGACTCTCTTCCACTCTGGGATCAAGGTCTTCTACAGCAGTCTCTGCCGTCCTCTTTGTTCCTTGGGCTGGATTCGGCTTGACCTTTGCCCCGGGTGGATCTATTCTAAGTTCTCCTGTTCTCTTCTTGGGCTCTGTTGCTACCTTGGCTTTCGCCACTGGTTTCTTCTCTATCTCGGCTGCTTGCCTCTTCATCTCATATCTCTCTTTCGGGTCATCGGGATAGGTCTTCTCACCCTCTGCCGCTGTTGGCGGCGGGCTTCCCGATCCTGCGCTCTTTGCTTCTTCTTTCTTCTCTGGTTCTCCGGCCGCGTCTTCGGCCGTAATGTCGGTGTCCTTGTCGGCTACGACCTTTGGCTTCACAGTGTCAAGCTGTTGCCGTTCCTTCCTCTTCTTTGCATGGGCTTCAAGTCTCGCTTGCCCAGCTTCATCCTTTTCCATTGCTTCGCTCTTGTCTTCCAAGATGCACCTGCATCCTGGGCAGCCTTCTGTGGCTCCATGCTTGTGCACATCCTCTCTCCTGATGTACACTCGCCTCTGCTGTGGTGGTGCCACTCGTTCCTCCTTGGGAGGTGGTACCACAAGTCGTTCTTCGAGCATCAGCTGCTCACCGGCAGGCCTTGCCGCCGAGTGCTCCCACGGTAAGCCCCGCAAAAGGTCCCAATCACTTGGGTCCCAGCGGTCGGCTGAACTCAGCCGCCGGATTCCTGTGCCTCTTCGCACGCCATCGGCCGTCATCACCAAAATGGATCCTGTTCGGCCGTGGTGCCCTACATAGCGTCCTTCTTTCAGGACGCGAACTCCCTCGCCTACTTCTCTAAAGTATAGGCGTTCACCAAAAGCTATGGCAGGTTTCCGCCATTGCTTTCCACATCTTCTGGCCTCAGGCGTCCTGCCATCTTGACCTTTCTTGTACCTGCTCAACAGGTCTCCCGCCTGCCTTGGCAGCCATGCCAATGCAGGATTGAGCTCTTTGCCGAGCTTCTCTTCCAACGCGCTGCGGAGAATTCGTACTTGACGCTTGATCTCCTTGCAGGCGTTCTCTGCCAGACCATTCGCCTGATGGTCTCCTGCCTCTTTCAAGGCTACCACGGATGGCTCACCATCCGACTTGAGAACCACCTTGCGGTGTCCCAAGTTCTTCAAGAAGTTCGCCACGAACTTCACTGCATACGGCGTTGCTCCCTTCGAATCCACGAAGGTCGCCGCTAAGGACTGTGTCCTCTCATCTTTCACCACGAGGATCGGCTTTACTCGCTCGTCCTCCACACCGCCCCGTGACATGAACGTGTAGTCCATTGCCACTGTGGGCACAAGGCTCTTTGCCTTCTGTTCCTCGGACCTTGTCCGATGCGGCTGTCCCACAGCCCGTCCAGCAATGCAATGCCGGCACCAACTTCGATACTGCACATGGCCTGTCGCCTCGTGCTCTTCAATCTCAGCCGGAGTTGGGTCCTCCGGTGCTCTTATCTGGATGGGTTTCTCAACCTCATCAACTAATTCCAACTCATCATCCTCTTCTCGCCCCTCTGGACCAGGTCGGCCTGAATCCATAGAGGCATCTCCTCTTTCTCCTGCGGCGTTCAACTCTGCAATGCCACAGCATTCCTTGGTCGGTTTATACCCTGGCTTTCTCAAGTAGAAATTGTACACTCCCTGCTCTTGATACACAGGGATCCAACTTCGCTGCTCTGCAGCGCTCGCTTTCTCCAGGATCGCCTGAACAGCCTTTCCAACTTTCGACCCTTGCGGAATCAAGTTTCCGCCATTCACATCAAGAACTGCAATCCTTCCAAAGCCTAAGCACTTGGATGCTGAAATCAATGGCTTGTGAACATCGGCCATTGAACCTTTCACACGGCATTTGTTGCCGCTCTCGTCGAACCCCTCAAAGGTTCCAATGCCCTGACTGGGCACCAACTCTCCTGATGCAGTCTTGAAAACAACCCCGTTGCCTTCACTGACAACCACTCGGTCCTCCCAGCCATTCGGGATGGCTGTCTGGGCTGCTCCAGTGTCCAGGTTAAACTTCATCCATTCTTCGGCGGATGAAGCATCCGCTATTCCAACTCCACTCAAGTCTGCCATGAGCATTCCGACATCACCTTTGCCGCCTTCTCCACCTTTGCCTTTACTGCCTTTGCCACCTTTGCCACTCCTATCTCCTTTGCCTGAACCTGACCATTTATCGCCTTTTCCATCCGGCCGTCTCTTGCTCCAGCAATCGGCCGCTCTGTGTCCCTTCTTACCGCAATTGTAGCAGGTGATATCTTGAGCCGTGTTTGAGCCTTTACTTGAATCTCCTTTGCTTGAGCCTTTCTTTCCATCACCTTTGACCTGTTTACCTTTTCCTTTTCCTTTGGCCAGGCTTGCAATCCATTGTCCGATCGAATCGACGTCCATTGGTTGAAGTTGTGGTCCTTGATAACTAGAACTCGATGAACCTGGTTTTGGAACAGATGACTTTGATGTGAGAGATGATTCAATGACAAGCTCAATCTCCTGTTTGATCAATGAGTAGGTTGTCAATCTACTCTTGTTCAACAAAAGATGTTTCTCCAAATCTGGGGGTACCAGCATCTCCAATGAAGCGGACTTGATGTCGTCCGATAAGGTTTCCCTTATTCCTGCGGCACTCCTCCGGGACTCGTACCGCCTGATGAGCTCTTCAAGCTGTTCGATCGCTGGCCTCACCGCGGCCCACGTCTCGACTCGTTCAGGTTGGAGAATTGCTCGAAGGATATTGCGTTTCCGTCCCGAGGTTCGGGGATCCCAACGGCGGTGAACTCTTCGGTATGCCTCGAAACCATTTGAGGCTCCTACCATGAGATCTTCCGTTTCTCCGGAAGTGAGGGTCAGGAGGACACGATGAATTTGATCAGCTTTATCTTCTAGATCATCGATAGCCGCTGTGGTACCAGTCCCAAACGCGGACTCCATAACACTCATTTCAATCGCGTCTTCCTGCTCCAAAATATACTCAAGAACTTCAATGAACTCTCTCCCAAAGGTAGTTATGAACAGGTTGTCGATGCTCCTGGCCCACTTTCGGAATTCCCCTTCAACATTCCCAAAACTCTCAGGACGTCCCAAACCCTTGGTATCCATAAGTATTTGGGACTTTCGTCTATCCTCCTTTTTCTCAAGGCTCTTGGCCAGTTCTCCCACTGCTGAAGCCAGCATAGACACCCCACCTTGGGATTCTCTCAGTACCTGGTTCTCCTGTTCCAAACGTGCCTGGTTTTGCTGAAGCTGCAAAGCCATATCAGACAACTGTTGAATCTGCTGTTCCAATGCCATGGTTCCCTAATCTCAACCCCGAAGGCGCTGCTCTCGCACCTTTTCCGCTACGGACGATTCGTCCGATCTCCGGCCCCTCTTCTTTTGTTTCTGCGGTCCTTTCAACCGCTGAAGTTGCTTCTGCGGTCTTCTCAACCGCTGGAGTGGTGCTTGCGGCTGGATCCGCCGCTGATGTGGCTGGCAAAGGCTCTTTCTCCTCCTCCTCTTTTTCTTTCCTTTCTTCTCCTGCTCCGCTCGGGGCGGCAGGAACTGCCGCTCCCGAGGGTCCCGGCTCCTCTTCTTCGGAGCTTTCTACTTTACTGTGTCTCTCTTCCTTTAGGCGGAGTGCTCGGTCCCTGTCACTCTCACCGGACCCTTTCGCTACCATGAAAACAGAGTTTCGACGTTTCGGAACGCCTTTTCTCCTTGAGCCAAAACACGTCATGAGTCACGTGTCTGCAGTACTCTAGCGGAGTATTTATGGGCTGTACATGCAAACAAATAAATAAATATATATATATATAATTATTTATATAAATAATGGTTGTGAATCTCTGTCCCTGCACCAGTGGCTTGTGTGGATTCCCTCAAAAGTCATGTGCATTCGTGGCAAAGAACAGTGGTTGGCTGCAGTCGTTGGAGTGATAGAAGTGCAATTCTTTCAGCAAATATCTCAAACAATCCCACCTAACTTGACAACTGGTTTGTGGGGCGTGGTTAAGGGCTGTCAAGGGGACCTGCCAATGTGGGTCACCAGCAGTGAAGATCCACTCATGGCCAATGGCCGATTCGCCGATGGTTTAAAAAAGTTAAATTGTGCAGTAAAACATAGTAAGACCCAAGTAAACACTCAAGCTGGGATAGCTGTGAGATATTGTGCGATCAAATCAATAACAGCTCCACCACACTTTCAGACCCCAAAGAGTCACTCCTCAAACCCCTCTCTCTCAGACGCTGGAGGAAGAGGGGGCGGACGGTGCCCCCTCTTCGGGGTGAGTTCTATGCCCTTTGTGCCCTGGATGACCGACGCTTGTAGCTTCCCATTTGAAGCAAAGCTTTATAAATGTACAATGGGGCCCAATGGGGTCATGAACACTTGGATGGCCAGTATGAAACAAGGTGAAATAACGAGATATGCTGCATGTACTGCTGTATGTCAATACCTCGAAATTGTCTGTTCTATAGCGAAAAGGGGGGGGCACAATCAAACTCAATGGCAGCAGCTAGGGCCTTTTCTTGCTTCCACCCCCGCTCTGACTGTCAGATGTTGGTGTAGTTCCAAGCTGGCCAATCCACCCAACCAGCTGATGAGTCCTCCGATTTCGGCCCCACCGGCGCTTTGCGGCTCGGTCGAGCGCCCCGCGGCTCGGGTCTCCCCACATGGCACAGTGCATGTTCTCCAGCGGCGAGCGGTCGTTGTACTTCACCGCCACGTCGTGGTTGGTCTCCACCAGAAACTGGTTGTTGACACCTCAAAGTAACGTGAAGGCAGGTGGTTGTTCGCCGAAGAATCGAAGGCTTTCCATGGTGTCAGAATTCGGGCAAAAATCGCGAACATGTGATCAAAGATTCTTCTCAGGCTTCCTGTGGAGTTCACCAGGACCCCCAAATTGTCCAGCTTCTCCCACTCACCTGGCACACCCAGCCCTAGAAGGGGACTCAGACAGCAAAACCTGGCTGGAAGAACTTCACGCTCTGAAGGCACGGCGAGCCTACCACTGTTCTCCTCAGATGTGGTTTCACCACCGACACATGTCCCTACACCCAATTTGACCGACCTCATGATGCATCCGAACAATTCCCAACAAGAATCTTTCTCGGGTGCCTAAAGAGATCCCAGCACCTCCGGCACCTCCCAAGAGATTCCAACCCGCGGATGTCTTGTTCTGCTCTGCGCCAAAGGCGACGGGAAAGAACAATCTCCGTCCCTCCACGTACGGGCGAGGTGCCCAAATGGCCCAGGTCGTGGCCGGCGGCTGCAATGAGCAGCCAAAACCTCACTTGGTCGTCGGTCTTTTGGGGCCCGGCTGGTCGGTTCAGTGGCCGGTGTCGGTGGCGTCGGATGGAAGGAATGGGGGCAGGAATGGGAACGGGGCTCAAAAAAAACCATTCTCAACATTCTCAACTGATATGTTAGGACGGAAGTGAACATCTTGACGTCAACATCGCTGGACAGAGTAGCCACTGATCTTTTGAAGCCGGCTTCAGCATATACCCCTTGCTGCGGCAAAACCTCGAAAAGTTGTCTTGGGCGAAAAAAGGGGGCTCCTGTGCTGGAGGGGCTCAAGGCAAGGCAGCCTTCTGCCCGGTGTCAATGCCGTCATCCCACCGTCTCAACGCTTGAGGAGTGGGAGCGAGCCAACCAGATTGAATTCCCTGTAGCTCTCCTCCACCTGCCTCTCTCACCACTACCATTTTCTGTGTTTTGGATTCTGCGATTCCATTCTTCATCTCCAAGCCAAATGAAAATGTCTGCCGAACCAGCTTGCTCGCACCGGGGTTCCCGGCTGAGAAGTGTCCGTGAAGGTGGATTGCAAGTTTGCTAGTCTGCGCCGCGCGAAGCTCACGTCGCGAATCGCATCACGCGGAGTGTAGGATCCGTTCGTTAGCGATGCGATACCCTGCGTCGCCAAAAGAAAGATCTATGTCGAACAAGAAGGTGGGAACTCAAAGAATTTTGATGGTCCGAGCCTCCGAGCATAGAAGTTCATGATGAGTTCTCACTCGGCCCGTACAAGAGAGAGAGAGAGAGAGTGACTAAAGCTAGCATATGTCATGATTTCTTGATCAAAATGATAAAATCTGTTTAAATGATTCTCCCCCTGGCCCCTAGCCCAGCAAAATTCGGTAATCACATCCCTGCCGACCGGCCTACAAAAGCGTGAGACGTTGTAAAGTACCTCGGTGTTTAGGCGGCAGAGTCAACGAACGTCACATCGCACCAAAGACACAGGTGCCTTCTCTTGGATTTGGGAATGACCACCCCCCCAAACTGGTAACTGCCAACCAACCACACGCAAAGATTTAGAGTCCAATCGCTTTATCCAATCGGACGGGAGGAGCCATCTATAGCCATCCCCCTCTGCACATGTCCGTCCACCGGTGGTGGCTGGTTCCTCGCACCAGCAGCAAGTGGGGCCGCCAAAGTCCAAAATTTGAAAGCTTTCAGGTGGCAAAGTTCAAGTGCCCAGAAGTATTTGCTGCTGAAAACTGGATTGAAAGCTGTGCAAGGGAGGTGATGTTCTCAAGATGCGGTATATAAGAATCTCCCAGCCGTCAAAGCCGTCACATGGAAAACTGCGTGTGTATATATAATGTATAATGTATAAAGAGGTGTAATACATCATATACACCAATCATGGCAACAAAACCCCGCAAGGCATTGCTCCTTCTCTCTTCCGGCCCTGCAGAGAATTTGTTGCATCGAGCTCCATCCAATTGAAAAGAACAGACATTAACCTTGTGTATGAAGCCTATCACCACTTCATTCCCAAGGTTGCAGGGCCTGATTAACAATTTTGGAGCTTGCAGCATCGCCCAAAAGACACCAGCTCAGCTCGACACGTCCAGGCCATGGGAGAAGTTGTGAAAGGGATTTTCCGAAGGATACTTCGCCTGGATCGCTCGGGCGAAGTGATGCGATCCAAATGACCCATTTGGGCGCTGGTTCAATGGCGGTCATTCAGGTGGTGCGCGCGCGCGCGTTTCAAGCCGTCTGCCATGGAAGCTTGGGTGGAAAACAACGGAAAACAGAGGTCCAAATGGGCTGGATGTTTGGGAGACACCAAACCGCGCTGAGATTCTATGTAAGCCAAGCAGCTGTTAAACTCTTGCTTGCAAAGAAACCGGGCGATGACACCCTAAACCGCCAAATGGTCAAGCATCCTTCAGCAAGAGACCCCTTGCAGAAAGGTGTCCCCCCGGCCTCGCATGCGGTCATAAACTTGAAGAGAGTGGTCTCTGGAACATTGTCACGGACCTTGCGACGTGCGCTGGTCCCGTACGCGGACCTCGTGTTAGTTAAGGGGGGAAGGATGCGGGTTGAGCGAAAATTCCGGTGGCTTCTTTTGAATCGGTTCCTAACAGCGAACCGCCACGCGGTTCGTGCTTCGGTGACTGTGGTTGCAATGATTCAAAGCTTGAGCCCTCAAAACAAGAGCCGCTTACTGTGGGCTTTTGAAGGAAGGGGTTTCCGCTCCAACCTGCGTTCTACCAACCATACCATTTTTGCGAGTGGGGAGACCCCAAAGACTTACAGCTTGACTGGACAACTTGACATACCACTAAATAAAGCTTGCTCAGGTATCCCTGGATAGGAAGTAGCAGCTGGCCAAGACTTTAACTGATGACCAAAACTACACTTAAAATGACTTAAACACACCTGTCCAACAAATCCATTGCAAGAGCTCCCAACTTTTCAGTCACACTTTCAACATGGACAACCTTACTTCTACGATCCACCATTCACACTCCACTGAAGCTCAGATCGTCAGATCTACCTCACCACACCATGTGTGGCGCGCAAAACGCCCCGTCGCTCAACGCATGGCGCGCACAGCCCGCTCAGGGCCCTGACCCAAGCCACGCACCCCTCGTGGACCCAAACCTCGTGTCGTCCGGGTGTTGGCTGGGGAGTGTCGTTGGCGGAGCCTTGACCACCAAGATATCCGGGTTTGATGAGCGCAGCTAGTATCAAAGAGATCAGATGAGAGAAGTTTGTCTTGTTGAGGTAGTTGTCTTGTTGCGAAAGCCGCCTTTTTTGTTAGTTTCCATATGAATCTTTATTAAGGAATAGTATCGGAGTCCAGACAAAAGTCTGGTTGGAACAGAGAAGAACAAGCATCTAGCAGGAGTTGCTGTGTCTAGTGTTATTACTACTGTAGATGGTTTAGGGCAAAATGGTTTCCAGCTCTTGAACAAACATGGTCTGATAAGTCGTTGGGTGTCAAGAAAATGAACATGTGCTTCTACTTGTGGAGGTGAAACCCACCCTTCATCTCTCAGTTTCAATGTTGGTTCAAGCAAGGTATCGCTGGACCGTGCTTCATTCTGGCAAAAGGCTGGCCCGCAATCACAGGACTTCAACGCATGGCAATGGGCTGTAACAAGGAACAGAACTCTTTGTCCGTACACCTTCCCACATGACATGACTAGCGTGCCCGTTCCATAGAAAGCACTCTGGTGCATTGGCTAATCAGGTCAGGTCGGTTTTGGGCTCATTAGGTCAGGTCTGAACAAACATTGTTGACAGCTGCCACCTCTCTGGGCCTCCGCACCACATACGTGCCAATGGCAATCTTAAGCTCCACCGTTTGGCTTAGCCTCGTTGGGTGTCAGAACGAGGCGGCTCAACAGGCCAGCCAGGAGCTGGTCAAGCCAGCTCGAAGTGATTTCGCGATGTCCACATGATGAGGTTCATCACCTTTTGGAGAATCAAAGGTCCTTGTTGGGGGTTCCCTGGATCGTTATCAATTGATGGCCAATCGCGTCAGCACTAGCTGCGTGGCACCTGCCAGACTTTCTTGGTGTGTGGAAAATGACGGTCCTTTCTCAGGGATGGTCTACCAGTCCTCCATATAGCAGTTTCCTGACCTTGGCAGGGCCTCCCGGTCGTTGACCCCCTCTCCACCTCATCCTCGAGCTCCGCGCGCGTTGAAATCGGGCGTGTTCAGCTCCTGACTCCGGTTCCAGGCAACTCGACCGACTCACCATCGAACGCCTTGGATTGACCGCCAGCCACACTTGGCATGCCGAGTTCTTTCCCATTGATCAACCGAAATGGCCAAGCAGACGGCAGACCCTGCGGTTCTTCCTTGGGCGATTCCGCCCCTGAAACTTGGTGAAGTTCACCGAAGCCCCGCAGACCGTCCCCGCCGAAAACGCCGAACTTCGGTGCGTCCTCCAAGGTATTGGCCGGGATCTTGGCTGTGATGGCCGACAGGTCCTCGCCACGAAGCACCCGTGGACGACGTAAGGCGTGGTTTCGAAACCACGCCTTACGTGTGATGTGTTCCGCGTGTGTCGTACCATGATAGCTGCATGGGTGCCAGTGGATTAAGTAGAAATCCGCACTGTCAGTGGATTCTAGAGATGGCGTGGCGGATCAGGGTCCTACGTCGCAAATAGGGACGAGAGAATCCTTCCTATGGCTCAATCGAAAAGAGTGGTTCGGTGCCATAATTTGAAACTCGGTTTGCAATGTTACCACAAAGTAGGCGTGGTTTTCCTCCGAGCAGCAACATCCAGCATGTTCCAAGAATAGAACAAACATGAACAAACACACACCGTCTGCCCGCCCACGCCTTCAAGGAGGATCCCAAAAGGGTTAGGAAGAACCTCCATCACTTTCTTTTAGAACCTCCATCACTTTCTGTTTGATTCCTTGCACCCGTTTTCTGCTCCTTTTCCCTCTTTCCACAGGGCCTCATCTGGGCCCTTCTGCCACAGGACGTCGCTATAATGCTTAATGACAAAGCAATGGCATCCCTCCAATCATATACCCTTGAAAATATCCTCCCACAAAGGCACATGGCTACGCCGAAAATCAGGCGCGTCCTTGCCACGTGGCGTCGGCATCATCGAGGTACTCTTGTCTTCATCGCCTTCCTCAGAATCGGCCGCCCGTCGCTCTCTCTGAGCGAAAAAGAAGCTCGATTCAGCCGAGATTGTGCTCGGAACTAATTACGCATGGGAGTTGCAGGAGGTATTTCCATCTGCCAAATCTCTTGAAATCATCTTCGGGTCGGCATTTCATTCAGACACTGGGACCCTTCCAACGAATGGGTCTGCTTTCTGCCGCTGGGGACCTGAAAATCGGACAGCTTCCGTGCTCTGGAGGCGATGTGATGCCGGGCTCAATCTTTTCAAGGAAACCATCCAGGAGGTGAGCTGGGACACCCTGCAGTCAAGCCCGGACGCCTGGCACAATTTGAACTGAATCTGAGGATATCTGAGGATGCATCAAACATAGTCAACAAAGAATCTGAGGATAAACAAAGTTGGGAAACTTAGTCAGAGGATCATTGAAGTTGGAAAACTGAGAGAAAATGTCAACAAATCACTTAGCCTGAACATGAAAAGCAAACCACTTCGCACCTGTTCAGTGCCTAAACATGCAGTCGCCCAGCAGTTCCAAGTTATCGTAAGTTATCCAGTGTCGCCCCGGTCAGCAGTGCGGTCAGCCGAGAAAACGGCCAGACCCCATAGTAGACAGCACAATGCAAAGAGAGGGGGCACTCCTCGAAGCTAAAGCTGTGTAGGTCGTGCTGTGAAATCATCGTGCATCAATCGAACAGGTCGAGAAACGAAACAAGAGATGGTGTTGAATCGAAAGCCCCATCGCACCAATCCAAGAACTTCCAAGAAATGCCTGGCAGACATTGGCAGACCAGTTTGGGCACTTCGATACCTGCTGAAAGCCTTGCACAAGTTAGTCTACATGAGCCGTTTCCTGGTCCAACTTCAATACCTTGCAACCTTCCTCCCCCAACCCCCCCCAACTGGGCGCCTGCCATTGGCAATGCTTGCACCTTGAAGCCTCGGAGAATTGGGTGCAACGAAGCCATCGAAAAGCCATCGAACACTTGCAGCAAATTCACCAAAACAGCTGGAGAAACCACCACGTCTTCACTGGTTTCCCGGACCAGGGTGCCGGATGCCAGGTGATGCTACCTTCCATGACCGTTTTTAGGTAAAACTGGTGAGGACAACGACGGACCGACCTTTCGGAGGCCTCGAAAGGACTTCAGCGATGTGACACCTCGAAATCGCATCGCAGGTTTGGACCAGGTTTGGACCGACCTCTTCGGTCTAAGAGATACACGGTGTTTCTCCAGGTTTTGACCTGTCCCCGATGGCGTGCGTGAGGGGTTTTTGAATTTCTCAGACCGTCGGTGCGGCGTCTGGGACGGGAGACAAGAGGGTTGGACTGAGTCAACTGTCGATTGGACATGGGAGTGGATACCACAGAAACAACTGGACTGAACGGCATGTAGAAAACATGGGACATGTTCAATCCGGGTCTAGAAAAAAGAAGACACCAAACAGCATACTCAGCCTCAGCACTGTTTTTGGGGAAGAAAAGGGAAGAAAGGCGGACCCAGATTGGCAAGGGGCCAGTTCAGAGTCATGATCTCATTCTCCGTCATGTTCTCCTTGACTTCGGGTTCCTGGCCGTCGCATGTGGTCGCGACAGGGGTGGGTCGCACGGGAGAGTTGGAGAAAGCATGAGAAAGCCATTCCAACCGAATCCAACAGTCCAATCATAGTGGAAGGGAAGGTTCTCTATCTGCAAATCATGAAAGCAATCTCATGACATGTCTGAAATACATCTGCTCTTTGATTTGGATCGCTGTATTCATCAGAAACATGGGCTTCTTTTTGGCGCAACCTTGATGCAAGTTCCCTTGTTTATCCTTCTGGGACAGCTGTGGCAGAAATTAGTTCGAACTCTGAAGATTGGGTTGGGACAGCTACAGTATTGGTCATCAAACACCCACTTGCTACCTCAAACAAAGCCTTGAAACAAGCATGAGCCACAGCAACCGCAACCGATTGCAAAACCGGGAAGCCCACACCCAACGGTTTCGAACTGACCACAGCGGGCAGGGCAAGGTTGCATGTTTGCTAGGTTGCATCTTTGAAGGCATGGTATATCAATCATGGAACGACACCATCGTCTTTCACTTGGAAACCACCGAAACGCTGTCACAATCCTGTTGATGTCAGATCGGGAATGACATGACGTCACATGTTTGGCTCTAAACTCTCCCCGCTCCTCCGTTTCACGGCCGGTCTGGCGGGCTCCGGCTCAACCCTCGGCACGTTCCGGCACGTCCGGCACTCTCTCGGCTCCGCACCCCAGCCACGGAGGAGAGGTGAGCGATGGCCTTGGAGCACGACCATTCGCTGCGGGTCACCATCGGTCCCCACCGAGCCGATGGAACAGATGGTGAACCAGCGGGAGATGACGTGAAGGCCGCCGCATCATTTCAGGCGCCAATGGACCTACCAGTACCACCGGTTGGGTGTCGATGTTGAAGAACGTGGGTTGACACGGTGCACCAGTTGGCCAGGGGGGAAAACACATTACATGGATTCAAGCCAGTGTCAACGCACTCTTCAGACTTGTTGTCAGTAGAAGATCATCCTCCAGCATGTCCACCTTCACTGTGTTCTTCATCACTGAGGATTCTACTCGTGAACTTCAGATCTTGAAGAGTGCCAGCAGCTCAGCCACACCCAAACCCATCGGATTGGTGCTCGCAAGGTCGCGTGATGAGTGTTCCCAGCAACGAATCCTGTTCGACCCACGGCGAAGACCCCAAAGCATCTACAAACCTGGCTGCGCCTTGAGAACCTCTTCTTGTTTATGAGGACTGGGTCAAGCCAAGGCAGACCATCGAGATTGGGCAGAACCGGGGCTGGGCAGGAGGGGTCGCCGCCGAGCAACGGCCAACTTTTTCACCACCTTCTCCAGCAGCATGAACTCGCTGCTCTGTTCCAGCTCCTGGCGCCGAACTACACCAACTGTGAGGAATCCTCTCCATGTGTCCCAAAAAGATCGGCACCCTACCAGATTGGTTTGAGGGGAGCAAATTCCTACATGCGTGGAGAAACTAAGGAACTTGACATCAAAGTGTGCACCTGCTTTTCTTCGCGGGGGCGTCTTGCTTTGAGTCGACATGAAACCTAGTCTGGTCATGTCTGGTCGATGCTTTTGAGGTTCCATGTTGTTTGCTTTACGGGGAGGAACACGTTTCCCAGCCAAGTCTTGAAGCCATGCAAACGCAAGGTATCCATGTCTCCACATTGGTTCATGCTGGTCTCCTGATCGTCATCATCCTCATCCTCTGACCTCCACGCGCCGGCACACACTCGCGGCCGGCAATTTCTTGTATGATCCTTTCGAGAACCATGTTTGAACAAAGGGATATTGTTGCAAAAAGGGGGGTTCCCACAGGGTGACGAAATGCCAATACTTACTGTAATATTATGCTATATCATCTGGGCCAAACAGGTCCCTGCTTTTTGTTTTTGAATTGCCTTATTCAACTCTCAATTCGTTACAAGCCACACATGCCTAGAGGGTTTTCTTCCGGGGCCTCAAACCCTCAACAAACGGAGTGGACGTTTGGTCCGGAGTGGACTCAGCTCAAAGAGTTTGGTCCAGGTGTTCAGAGCAAACAAACCACACCGATGAGTCATGTGTGTGTGGCATTTGGCAATCACACAGATGAGTGACGTGTACAAGATGGACGTGGCTGGGCGCGGTGTGAAACACCTTCCGTCAACCTCCGGGTTGCTTTCGCGCAACAACAGCAGAGTTCCCAAGGATGTTTGAACACAGGGGGCCATGAGGTTCTTGGAGGAGTGGTGGCCAACGAAGAAACATACCTGCTGAATCATTCTGAACAGGTTACTTGCTGTTCCTGTTGTTGCGTGCTTTTATTGTGGTTGGTGTATAAGACTTGAAAGGGTTCGAACTGCTGATGAAGCATCATCTACTGAAATAGACCTATCTGGAAGCCAGCGCCTGAAGTAGACTTGAGCTACCAATGAGTGCGTGCAATGGACTCTGAGTGCTACCCTCAAGAGGCAAGAAGTGTGTGTGTGTGTGTGGGTGTGTGTATGTGTCAACTTTGAGGCCAGCGCTCATCATCATCTTTCAAGTCCGTCGTGTACTTGAAGATCTGCTGACCTCATCGGATTGGTTTGTGTCAAAAAAGACACACGTGCCAACGCCTGGGACCCCCTGCCTCAAAACCATTACACAATCCTAGAAGGAAAGGTGTATATATATTTACATGAACATCACGGCGGCATCCAATCAAGTCCTAACCCATACAGCCATTGGTTTGGAATTGGCTGCTTTGACTCTAGGGCATATTCGTAGTGACAAAGCTGAAACTCAAGCCCTGAGACACAGGCCCGCGACATCTAAATGAACGAGCAATGCTTGCTCGACTGAGGATATTCATTGTAACTATTGGACCCTCGGTGATCAAACCTTACCTTGGCTGACTCAAGTAGCATCATCAAAGTCTCACTATATAGTAGGTTATTACAGTAGGTGAGTGCTTACCTACACAAACTTCTTGCTGTAGGGCAGCAGTGCCATTTTCCACTGGTGGACGGGGGGCCGTAAAACACATCACGAAGTATCAAGGCTCTATTTTGTGGCCGCTGACTATGACTAGGGATATAGTCATAGTCGAGTCGTATTCATCTTCGGAAAGCGAACTCATCAAACTGATCCCAAAATTCAGTAATAGGAGCCATCGCCATAATCTTCATAATCGTACTCCTCCTGCCTTCGGCGTTCTTCCTCTTGGTCCTGGAACCATTGATCGTCCTCCTCCTCCTGCCTTCGGCGTTCTTCCTCCTCCTCCTCCTGCCTTCGGCGTTCTTCCTCTTCCTCCTCCTCCTCCTCCTCCTGCCTGCGTCGTTCCTCCTCCTCTGCATCTTCCTCGTCTTGCTCTTCACTCAGCTGTCTCAATTGAGATTCTGGAAGATACCCTCTCCGCCATACTGCTTGAGCAATCAGGCGGCGCCGATTGGAGGACATCTTTTCCCAATTCTCATGCACTATGTCATCGCGCACTTGCCTTGCCTCAGCAGTTATTTTTCGGATGCTTTCCTCGATTGTGTGCAGCAAATTTGTCTGCCAAGAGCACTCAGCATCAGCTGCCGTGCGTTCTCGCCGTCGCAATTGACTTTCTGCTTGTAGGTCACGCTCGTTCCTCATGGTAAAGATGCACGGCAAAGTGAGAAAGAACGCGAGGATAAAGCACAGCCAAACCCAGGGTAAAAGCCCCTTTTCGTGCATGTAGCTCTTGCTCCAGAAATCCAATTGGAAAAAAACAAATTATCACTACCCATGAAACAGTAACAAGCCCAATCAGGCACGGACAGGCATTTCTTTCAAGCTCATCTGACGCATGCTCTTCATTACACCGAGCAGTGCGGAGCTTGTGCTCTGCATCCCGTACAGCACTTCGTCTGGATTCCAGCTGTTTGTGAAGGTCCAAAAACCTTGCCTTGTGTCGCTGCATGAGCCGTGCTGCTCTTTTGGCAGCTTGTTTGTGGACCTGCAACTCACCGTGCTTCAAGAGCCACGCATCCTCCTCCGGCCTCTCTGCTTCCTGTGCGCCTGAAAGGAGTGTCAAACGTTGGCTCATCAGACCATCCAAGCATCTACGTGCCTGCCGCGCTTCTTCCTGTCGGGCAATATCGCCGTTGGTCGGGATATCAAGCCAACGCTGAAAGAAGCTCTGCTCATTCACCAACTCAAATTCGCAACCCCGCACGGCAGCCTGCCGCTTCTGAATGCGAGCTTCAAGGGGCGGGAGGTCTCTTTGCCAAGCTCTCTTCAGGTTGGCGATTCGATCCTCCAACTGTTTCAGCCGATCCTCCAAGCAACGGAAATCACTGAAGATGTCATCGACGGAGCTCTGCCATGCATCCATCAGAGCGCCAGCGGAACTGCTAAGAAAGCGGTGTTCAATGAGAAGTGAGCTTCTTGGGTGTGACAGTGGATCATGTTGTTAGTAGTGAGTGACCTGGTGACCTAGTTCTTCAAGACGGCAAGGCTAGGACACATCCTACCTGCTCTAACCTGCTCTGACCGAAGCTTGTCCTTCTGTGCTGCAGTGATTAAGGCTCAGCTGACCACTTTACCACTCCAGAGTTCTCGGGAACAAGAGCCATAAATGGGCGAAGCAACATCGGTCTCATAAGAGATCGAAATCATGTTCAGTGCATCTTCAGAGTCGCTCAGTCAGGGAGACCACTTGGTCAGTAGGGATCATCAATCGCTAAGAATAAGCAATCATTCCATACTCACATGTCTCTGCCCCGCTACATCAGAAAAGGAGAGGAGGTTGGCTTACAACAACTGTGAGCTAGTCAAATCACACTCTGTTTTAGTAGATATAGTTATTCAATGTTATTCAAGATTCCTCAAGATCCCTCAAGAATTTCGCCTATGTTCCAATGAGCTGGTACTCTTTCAGAACATCCAATCTACCATTTGATGTTTGGGATACACCCAGGTGTCTCCCACTTGCTAAGGCACGCCTCCTAAGGATGCTGCCTTTTGGACCCCTCAGACTCTGAATCAGCGGAGAAACTTACAGGTCTCCTGCCGCTGGGTTTTGGGTCCACATAACAAGTGGGAAGCCCGGAGTTTCTGCACACCCCACAAGTTTCGGCCGCGCTCAACCAGACCCGAGACGATCTCCCTACGTCAGTTCTGCAGAATTTCATTTCATGGGATCAACTGGATGAATTTTCCTGGGGACCGGAGGATGGAAAAATGGACATCAATGACCCTCCCATGCTTCCAATGGTCAACTTCTGAAGGCTTTCTGTCGCATCCCCTGTCCGCGCTTCCGCGCTTCCTCGCGCTTCCTTGGGGGGCCCCGTGCATCGCTGGCGAACCACCGAAAGCATGCGTTCCAACCTGGGCAGAGAGACAACGGGGGTGCCGGAAGAGCAGGGGGGGTTGAAGAAGTCACCTGGTACACTCCTGGTACACTCACGAACAACTCTGACGCATTTCAAAGTCTGTGAGAACGCTTTGTGAACACTTAGGACCACGTCCCTATTTTTGACGAAGGTGTAGTAGATTGGTGAGGCTTACAACATGTGCGAGAGACGCTAACAAAGCTTGAAACCGTGAAGATTCCAGCTACACTGTGCGTCTGCAAAATGTCCAGAACTGCAAATGGTTTGCAAGCAAGTAGTCAGTTGAACAAAGCCGTTGATTGAAACTGAAACAAATATATACATAAATAAAGCATCATAAAGCACGGGATCCAGACTGGCCGAAATAATGGTGCACCGGGTGTTGAGTCAGCATTCTCCCCCCAAAGAGGAGACCGTCCCCCTGCAAAGAGCTGAGAAACCATTCACTTCAGCAAAACAACTTGAAAATCCCTCGTTTGCATGGCTTTGGAACACACAATGCGGCGCTGCGGAATCGGTGATGTTGTGGGTGATTGGGGTGACCTTACCTCTGTCTGTGCTGGAATTTCTATCGAGACCCACTTTCACCGGATCCGAAAGGTTGGACCCAAACGTGGGAACCGGGCAACCTATCCTAGCTACTTGAGGGATCGCAGAGGACCACCCCAACTCTCCGATCCTTGCCGAGATCATCCAAAACTCTCCGACTTCGGTGTGTTCAAACCCACCTGGCTCCGCTTCCTAATCCTTGACCTTCGGCACTTCTTAATCCGCTCCTGGGGCCTCCGGGCGGTAGAAGCGCCACGGTACTGATGGATTGACTCATCAGCAAGCCGAAGACGCACATCACCAAGACCTCGACGGCCCAATGGACGCGCCGATGGACGCGAGGAGGTCTGTCGATTGATGATGACCAAAGGGATCCAAAGGGGCCTCAGGTCTGTCAGTTCTTCACGAAGAGAAGATTGGAAGGGATACCAACTATATCATCCAAAGGCCACGAAAACAGGTAAAGCAGGTTTACCCCATTTTGGTGTGTTGACCTCCCATGCAGAACTGCAGTAAAAGACCCCTTCCAATCCATGGGAATTGTACCATCTACGTTCACCTAGATGCTGTGGGGCGAAACGCTTGGGAAGGGCAAGGAACGAGGATCGAACAACTTCTTATTTGTGTTTGGGAATCAGACCACAACTACAACCTGGACCTGAACTTGAACTTTTGGGGGGAAGCCTCAATGGACTCTCACATTCCAGCGGCACAGCTTCCACAGGTGTAGCAAGGGACGTGAGTTCAGACCTCCAGCCATGCATCCATGGAGTCTGGCCGAGAGGCTACAAAGCAAAGCAAGCCCATGCCCGCTAGGCTTTCCTGGCTTTGCTTGTGATGAAAACATGAGGATCAGAGGCTCATGGCCGCAGTTGCGGCTAAGGGCACACGACAGGGCAACCCCTTTTCCAGTCAACCCAAGCGGATGATGTTGAACAATTGGGGATGAACATCTGGGGGTGGGGGAACAATGTGGAGTTTGTTCGAGGAATATTACAGTATCTGGTAGGGACTTCGGTCCAGTCAACAAACTTCTTGAGCAGATGTGAAAGGTCAACCTCTTCTGGATGAAAAGCCCCACCTGGTCCCATCACGGTGTTCATACCAAATTTAAAAGTTGAAATGGATCCCTGCCGATGAGAACCCTGGTGGCCCCAGAGTGAGCTCCTTCTGCAGGTTTGCTAGTCCTTCTATTCGAACGCTCCTCCTCGAGCCGCGCCAAAAGCACGGCGAGACAGCAGCCACTGAACCCTTCACCCGGCGTCCTCTTGTTTTGGTGCCACCAAGTTGAAGGAGAGCTGAATCGTCTCCTGAAAAAAAGGACTGCTCGCGCATGCTCGCGCCATAAAACCCCAGAAGAACTCCGGTTGATGCAACCGACCAATATTCAATATGCAACTCTTCCAAAGAGCTCAAAGAACTCCACCAGATACACTCCCTCAAATAATCACGGAAGTTGAACATAGGCCCCTGGAAGACCATGTTTCTCTATACAAACAGGTGGTTTAACTCCACTCTCACATTGTGAGAGTCAACGCAATCTGTGATTTTTGAAAACCACCACCACGGTGATCTTCGAGCATCGTCTCGGTCTCTCACCGCACAGACCTCGCACGAAGCGAGGCCTGGTCTCGCTCCGCACCTGCGAGAACTGCCGGATGGAGGCGAGCCGGTCTGGCCTCGGTCGGGTCGGTCGCTTCTCCCGGTTCCGGAGGGTCGGGCGGTGGTCGGGTGGAATGCGATTGGTGTTTCTTAAAGGAACTCCAGAGCCCCTTTTTTCAGATGTGGATGTGTTCTTTTAACATACAGCTTCATCTACAGTGACAGGCGAACATGAAAGTTCCGATCTGTTCTTCTCTTGGAACCTGCTCACCAAAAAAAACAGAACTATTTTGGTCCATCGATTCATGGACCTCCCCAAGTCCTCGAAGCTGGCAGCTTCGGTTGCAGAGCCGTTCTTGCCCCCAGCGGCCAGGAGGTAGGTGAAAGATGAGAAAGAGAAGAGGACACAGTACACGCCAAAAGGACCCCCAAAATCTCCCAAATCTCCAAATAAATCTGATGGCTTCTCCAAATGCTACCAAATCCCACATCTCCACTTCTCCAAATCAGATGGCACATCTTGTACGCCTTCCTCCTCTCAGCAGTTGATCAGGGTTCCCGACGTGTCGAACTTGCTGGTGTAGTTCAAGGTCCTCAGCTCTTTCACAGAGTGCCATGAAAACACTGGAAGAAACAAACAGGATCACACATCAACTACTCAACGACTGGTGGACCGGGGATTCTGTAGATTCCTAGTACATTGTGACTTTAGTTCAAACATTTCCCAGCGGCGTTGGTCTGCGCGTGCGTTGCTCACTGTTGGGGTGAGTAATAGATGTGCTCGCCTGGAATTGATGGAACCTGCAAAGGATCACCCCTCGGGTTCTGACGGTTTTTCGACCAAACCAGTGGCAGTGCATGAAGTCAAGCAAAGCAGCACACCCCTGCGTTTTGCGAAGCCTCCAAAATACTTCCGTTCGCTTTAGCCTCAAACCCAATTCTCAGACTGACCGCGCCGACCTCACCACTGCTGACCGCAAAAAACCGCACAGGACGAGCCGAACGGACCGTGGTGCGGGTCGAGCAGCAGCAAATCCGGACGGCACTGGAAGACGCTGTTGCTGCCTCGGCAGGAAGGGACCAGGGGTTCTTCAGACCAGGTTCGAGGCAAATGCTGAACAGAATCAGGATGTTGATCTGCGGACCAGAGATGAAGATGCCAGCATGGCCAGCTTCTGATCAGAACTTGGATTCGATCTCTCACTCTGATCTGCACACCGCTGCACACAAGCACACAAGCACACAACAACAACAACAACAACAACAACGACAACAACAACAACAACAACAACAACAAAAACATCCGCAAGACTCTTGGCTTGTGCCTTCCCAAGTGGTTGCTCAAATGTGGGCCGGCCAAGCCCAAGGGCCTTTGGGATTCTAGCCTACGCTTTTGAAACTGCTGTTGGGCCTATGTCATCCCTTCCGCCTTAGCAGTGACCACGGTCGTCCACCCACCCACGGTGACTCATCTGGAGGGCCACGACTCAGATCTCCATAGCACACTTTGAAGGGTCCTCGGTGTGGACGCCATGGGTCTTGGAGTTTGGGTCCAGAAAGTAGTGGAACCCCCAATTTCATCGTTGGGTTTAGGTCAACCATGTGAGGATGCGTCCGGATGTTTCTCCAAATGAGACCAACCGGAAAATCTCATCAGAGTTTCTCTCAAAATAGCACATGGCCGTTGCCATTATGTTTGTAGCTGGGCTCGTCTCAAAACGAGGATGCGATTCAGTCAAGAGTGACGAAAACCCATTGGTTGGACGGTGATGTCCGGTAATCTTTGGACTCCCTTGTCGCTTGGGGATCCTGGCTGCAGCCAAAAGCTTCAATGAGTGACTAATGAGTGGCGCCAGGGGTTCATACTGGACTCCAATCAGGATTTGACATGAGCGGCACACCCAGCACAAGAAATACTATGAACATGACCCAGACGTATGACACGGCAGTTGGGCCTGGATTGCTATGGTTTCTCTACTTTAACAACCGTGTGGGGCGCCCCAGCACACCACTGGGCGAGTTCTGGGCTGCCCACCGTAGCTAAAGCCTTGGTAGGACGCCATCATCCGATCCACCTCAGTCAGTGATAAGTGGCTTCTGCCTCATGTTTCCCCAGAGAATGTAGACTCTTGATTGATAAAACCATCCCGATTTGGATGCACGGACTACCTCTTCATATCTGGGGGTGATATGATCCATCAAGCGTCTACATTCTTTGACCCACCAGTCTGGTCTTTCAGAAAGCTCCCCAAGTCTGGAACCAGCGGTTGACCGATCGATGACCCTGCTCCAAGTAACCTCAGATATGCCTGAAGAATGCCAAGTCGAACCCCAAACAAAAGGCGTCACCACAGGAAGATGATCCTCATGTTCAGGACTTTACTGTATGATCAAAGTCGCAAAGCAGGACACCGTGACATGGGTCCTTCTCCTACACCACTTCGTTTCAATCCATATATGATTATATGCCATTCCAAGTACTGGCTCAAGCCGACTCTTCGATACTCAAAATCATCCCACTGTCATGAAGCAATCCGCAACAAGACATGGGACTCGGGAGGTGAAGCAATCGCCAACGGGAATTACTATGAACATCTATGAACTACTGTAGCTCCATGTTCGTTTTGACTGGGTCTTTGCGGGCGTCTCCCTAGTCGAGGACATCGCTGTCCATATCGGTCCCATCGATAGGTCAGTGGGAATGATCGACATCGTACGACCGGTCGTGTTGCCGTGGTGTTCCGGGTCGTGGTGATTCATACCACGGAGACCTCTCTTAACGACCACTGAGACTTGCCTGACCAGAAAAAGGGCTGGGCCCAACCGGAAGATTCAGGTCTATCTGGGGATCTGAGGGCCTCCTTTGGCCAAACTCATCCGCGTGCTCTGAATGACACCCACCTCGCTCTGCAGCCAAATTTGCTGCTGGCACGCGAGAACGGCTGGGCAAGGGGAGTTCACAGGGTGAGAACCAGGCGATCTAAATGAGTGAAAATGCTTCGACTGTTGGGAGCCAAGTGAGAACAAAGCGTGGCCCATTTTTCGTTGACTTGAAGCCCCTCAGACCAGGTCTTTTACAGTCCAATGTATGCAGGGAGTCACTTATGGAGGCAGTGCTGCTCCGGGATGGAACGTAATCAGAGAGGGCGCGAGAGGCACCAGGCCTCCAAGGCTAAGCACTAACTTGTCTTTGGCTTTGTGCTGGGTCCGAGGACAATCAAGGGTATGAGCAGAGGGAATTTGGAATTTTCATGAAGTCCCTCTATCCAGATTATGAGCAGAGGGTATCCAGGTTCTGACAATCAAGGGTATGAAGTCCCTCTATCTTGCAAATTAATATCCTTCTTCCAGGTTCCTACCAAACATTTCAGTCTTCAAGAAGAGAAGTTGAAGGTTTTGCCTGCCAAACTTGGATCCTCTGTCCGCAGTGATCGCAAGAATTGCGAATTGGACAAACCAAGAACCACAAGAGAAGTTCCGGACATTTGAAATAAGAGACATACTCATGATACTCCATAGTCTGAGCAGATCTTAATGCCACAAGTGACAGGAATGGTGAAATGACCAAGTATTCTCCAGGTTTACCATCGAAATCCCCACAGAGCGCAGCTTCGGAGCCTGGAGCGCTACGGTGCTGTTGGCGGCCTGCAACAGTCGGAAAGGAACCTTCCCTGTGGTTTTGCACCTGTCCAGGGGTGACACACTAATATAAATCTAATACAATATGCAAAACACATATAAATATTATCAACCCTTAATAACCATTAAGTAAAAAAATGGTGGTGGAAAAGAGCAAATGAAGGGAACTGTCATATCCCTCAAAGAACTGGCAATGAAAAAGATGACTGAAGGAACCTGAAGGACGACTCCATGACTGAGCAAGGTGCTCAGTCAACCACTGAGCAGTATCTACTCTTCACATCACTTCACGCATTCTGTGATTGGTTGCCTTGGGCTTTAGCTGGGCTAAATGGGCTTGGCTTGCTCGCGAGGCTTTTGGTGGTCTGTTAGCACAAGACCGAGTGGCGTTCGCCCTCTTGGTGCGTTCGCCCTCTTGGTGCGGTTTCCAATGGCTTCAAGGGGTGACCGCACCGAAGCCCGAAGGGCCAATCCGCCGATGAAATGACCGACCTGTCCGCTGGAGGTGACTGAGCGGCCTCACACCGAGCTGACCAGAAAAGGAGTCCTCCAGGATCTCTCCAACAAAACACTGAAACCATTTCTAAAATATTCTAAAATTAACACGTACCGGAATCTCATGGAATCTCTCAAGCCAGCTAAGAACAAAGAAGGTCACAAGGTTAATGATACCAAAGGAGGAAAGCCCTGTTGCATCCTGGTTGCCTAATACTATGGACCTCTTCAACCCGAAATCTTCCAGTCTACAGTCACCCACCTCACCGGCACCTCTCCTCCACCGGAGCTTTCACCCCAGTCACCTCTCCTCCACCGGTGCAAACCACGGCCGGCTCGCCTGCTTGAAGTGCATGGCGTTCCGATCCAGCAACTCGGCCCAAGTGCCTCGGCGTGTTCCCCACCCCCTGTGGTTCGGTGCGGTGTTTGTCGCGTGTAGTTCGATTTTGGTGGTCCGGATGGGAGGGGTTCCTTGAGGTCCTACTGCCCCCCTGGAACATCTTGAAGCGAACTTCAGGATGGGCTGAGGCTGAGGTCTGTCAAGGCCGCTTCAATCACTTGCCATAAGTTGTGAGTGCTGGCCGCTTCAACCCAGGTCAACACTGGTCGGATCGTTCCAGATCCAATCCGGGGGGGGGAGCACTTCTTGAAGGGAAAGCAACATGGGTGTACGGGTGATGGAGACCTCCCAGTTCGGCCGACCTCCGAACGGAAAATGGACCAACACCCGTTGCTTGGGGATTCTCCAAATACACGCCCATTCAGGTGCGTCACGTTCGTCTCAGCCTTTCTCCTGGTAGATTCGGTGGCTCCGAAAAAGAAAAAAAAACATCCATGTATGATCCAAGTCCATATGAACACGCACACCCCTTCAATGAGATCCCAAGTGTTAAAACAACGGACGGCCAACCAACGAACACAACACCAGAACACCGAAACCGCCCAACCCCAAAAAAAGCAAAGAACTGACGTCCATCCGAGGCCACGAGCATCAGAATGGATAGGATTTGGCTATCGATGGATTGAACAGATTGAATAGACGAGCAGTCTAGTTCAACCTACAGTGGTTTCAGAGGTGAGAAATGGCACGTTCTCCCCAAGTTCGGTGGTTTATATGGACGCCTACACAAAAGATGGTTTATGGAGCCATCTACTCTGGAACCACTGTAATTGCAGCGAGTTCGGGCTCCGGGTTTTGACCCACACCCAGCTGTCAGCGACCCTCAGTGGGGCCCCACACCCATGGAATCATCCATCTCAGGATACTGCCAAATCTGGAACATGGGCAAGCCCACCACCGTCTGAGCGTACACGGGCATCGAGCAAATGTCCAGACATTACGGGGGCATCATTTCGCATAGTGATGGATGGAGGGGGTGCAAATGTCACTAAGGCGTGACTATCTGGGTGTTTGTTTCAGCCAGTCTTCGTTTTTCTGTGCTAGAGTCCGCGTGGCAAAGGACGACTTTCGTGGGACGTGTCCCAGGTCTCCATCAAAAAGAAACCAGAAACTGATTGGGTGGCCAACTACTTTGCATACCTTAGGCTTCACTTCGCATCCAGCCACTCGAATTTTCCTTGCCTTCACACCGGTCAGAAAAGAGCAGTGAAACTCCTCTGGAAAGGTCTGCTGAGGCAAATGGCGGGCTACTTCCAAAGATCAGTCTCAAGACGAGTGTCGACCCCGGTCCACCGAAATTGCAGGTTCTTCCTGTGCTCCGAAAAAAATATAAAAAACAGGTACTTCGTCCTGCAGGTTCTTCAACTTCAACTTACATCTCCCCCAGTGCCAAACAACTCTCCACCAGGTCGCAGGACCGAGCGAACCAGCGAGCCGAGCCCCACCCCAACTGAGCAAGCCGAACGATAATGGTCAAGAACGCCACTCGGGTGGAAAGGACCTCAGTGGGGCACAGACCTGTGCCACTGGGATGTGCCATGTCTAAGCATTTTCTGTTTCCAAAGTTCACAGAAGAGGCCAAATCATCCAAAAATCCACCAAAAAGGGAATGCATCCTTTTTGCAATCTGATGCCCTGCTTCCAAAAAGGGAATACATCCAATCTGGTTCTCTCTCATCCACCGAATGAAATAAGCTCTTGGCCGTATTCAGCTGGTTGGAGATCACGCGTGCAATCCTCAGTCCCGCCGCCGGTGCAACCCACTTAACTTTCCAAAACATTCCCGAAGACCAACATGGAAGGGGAGAACATCTGCTGAAAAAGCACGCTTTCTGTAAACGAGTCTGCCACAAAGGGTCTAGGCGCACCCCAGTTCCATTCATGTGTTCACTCAAAACACTTTGCACAGAGAACAAGATGGCATGTTCATCTGCCGTTGCATCACTTGGTTTGAGCAAGAAAGTCGATTCATCCCCGAATGTCAAAACAGACTCTTCACGTGCTTCTGTGGCTCGCCTTCCTTGACCTTGAGGAGCTCTCATCACCCCACAAAGGTTGTTCGAAGATGTTCGAAGTGCATTCAACTTTGGACCTGTCCCACCTCACACATGGGCCACGTCAGCCTGAAACCTGCACCCATCTGATAGCAAGGCAACCGACACCAGAAGCACCTCGTTGAACCCGCTCGTTCGACCGCGCTGGTGCGGTGCGAGCGCACGAGGCGCTCAAGCACTGAGGATTCGGACTTCACCTTTGAGGCATCCTCCTTGGTGGACATCCCCGGCAGCATCTTCAATAACTTCACCGCCTTGGCCGATGTGGCCGTTTCGACACCCCGTACGTCGGCCAAGATGGGAAAAAAAAGACAGGCTAAACAAGTGTTCGGAAACTGACACATTTTCACGGCTGAGGGGTGCATGGGTTGAGGCTGGTTGGGTAGGGTGATCTGTCTAGCAGTGCCAACTACAGCTTTTTGGTCGGTGAAAAAAATCAAGAACTTGCGAATTGTAACAAACAAATCAAACATCATTTAGCGACACGAAACTGGCAAGTAATTTGGGTGAGAACCGCTAAAGGCACGTTTCAAAAGGTTGTCACTACTCTAAAACTTAGGAGAACCATCTTGTTCTTGCTTGCAGAAAGCTCAGCCACCTCTGCCTCCGCTCAAGGCGCCCGGCTCTGCTCAAACGCCCGGCGCGTGCACCCAGCTTTGCCGCGCGCGCAGCGCGCACCACGATGACCTGAGCATCCGTGAACAAAAAGGGTCGCGCGTTAGTGTTGTCTGATGGGTTTCTGTATGGCACACGAGCCACAGCTACGAGGGGATGGCTGAAATACAAGGGGTCAGTGCGAGACGTGCTTGATTTCAGGCTAGTTTCAGCATCAAAGACCATGCCTCCATCGTCGTTCACCAGTACCAACTCAGCCATTCTGGCTTCGGTGGATCTGGGGTCTCTCCGGTGAATTGTTGGCGGGCCTGCAGATTCTCCTGGTCCACCTTCTGTCACAGCATATAATTACATTGTTCTCGAGATTTCTCGAGTATCTCTATACAATGACCAGTGACTCACCAGATCGATATCAGTAGAAATGTGACTCCATCATGTCCATGGCCATCCGAAACTCCTCCATCCGGCCATCCGCCAAGGCACATTGTCTTGGTTGGCACCTTCGGTGACCTGTCCAAGCGGGAAAAACGCCGAGGACACCACGAGAAGACACTGCGGTTTAGCTGCAAGCGATGCAACGGGCGAGCGGCGCGAACCGTGTGTGGATCTGCCAGAACACCTTGGTCCTGGTAGATTAACTAACCAGAAGTTCGTCTCTTTTCCCATCGCTACAAATGAATTCTCTGGAACAGTTTATGGATGTCTACGGACGTCGCGCCATGTCCACCGTCTTTTGCAGAAGAGTCTATTTTGTGGCTTTGGACGGGTGAAGCTACCAGGAGCAGTGCAGGGTGGTTCAACCGAACTTGAAGCAGTGCAGGGCCAGTGAAATGGTACGAGTAGATGTTCTTTGGAAGGCTCCACTAGCTCGCCACTAGCGTCTCCCATTCTCAGATCTGTTCGGTCAACAGGACGGAGATGTGAAAAAGCGATTGCATCACATGGGGGAGAGATCTCCAAACAGCGCTTTGGCTTCCTCCCAAGCACTTCAAACAGGGGCCCCCTCCCTTGGCAAAGATGGAGATGACGGCCTAGTGACTCATAACAAAACCTTCCCAAGGGCATGACAGAATCGCCAAGCACTCGGTGGTCATGCAAAGGATTTGAATGCTCCCAGTGGTTTGGGGTTTGGAGTGCTTCATCCAGACCCAACGAAGAAGGGTATCCCAGCTGCGTTCCACCCGTGCGTGCCACCCGGGCCTCTTCAATTGCCATTGCATCTGGACCAGCCATGTAGCTGACTGAGCCACGGTGGCCGCTTGGTCAGAGAGCGTGAGGTGAAATCGTGGGGGGCCGCGTGTGTGAAATGTCTGCTGTTTGGGATTTTGTACTACAGGTTGAAAGAAATCTAAACGTGTGATCCCCGTGGTTGGTTTCAATTTAAAGCCTGGCAGCACACCGAAGTTCTTGCACTTTTACTTTGTGAGTGCTTTCTTCCACCTTAATCGTTCCAGATTACTATTCTTGTTTCAATGCTACTGTCGATTGCACCTGGGTTCATTGAGTATGTGTGGGGAATACTACTTCAAACATCTCCAACCTAGCTTTGGATTTCTTCCATTGACAAGCAAACAGTGGGCTCCCCGCCCAGCCACACAGTGGGCTCATCCGTCCGAACTCATCCGATCGAGCCCCCAGGGATGAGCAAGCTTGGGAGAGCGGAGGGACATCAACATCCTGCCTGCTGCGCATCTGGCCGACATCTTCCTAAAGAAAAGAACCTTTCTGGAGGCTGTTACAGGCTGTCAGTGTTCTTCAGTAGAGAGCGGTGGATGATGCAAACACCTGAGGAAAAAGCGGGGGAATGGCTGTTGGTCCTTCGCGCTCTCCCACATTCCACACGAACCACTGCCGCTCCGTGAAAGCTGGGGCCCCAGGCTGTCGAGCACCATGGAGGCAGTGCCCAGTAGGTCCATTAGGAAGAAAAAGCCAAAGAGATAGTTGGCATCCGTCAACTGCAGTGACACTGCAGTTGCTGCTTGGAAAAGGCCGTAGGTTATGTGTATGTGTGTGTGCCTAAAAGCAGAGTCCGTCCTTTTAAGCTGGGTGTTTCGAAGTGGAGGGAAGTGGAGTGGGAGACTCGAGGTGTCCTGAAGGATGCACATCTGGTTTCAGACATTCACGATGTCCACTCTCTAGACTCATACGGATTCGAACATCTACTACCCTCCCTGCGAGTGCCGCGCAAGCTCACTAAGCTTCCGGCTGTCAGCCCTACCCATTCAAAAACGAAGAGGGCGAACACGATCGTAAGTACCTTGGAAGCCAAGCCATGCAAAGCCATGCCAGTTCTGAGCCAGGCCTTTGAGTCTTCAAAGAATGCTTGTCAGGCAGCACCATTGGGGAAGTGCTGCCAGTGCTTCTCCAAAAAGATACATGTTGGCACAAACATGTCCTTTTTGATCCCTGCTTTGAGAGGAAAAGACCAAAGACCCTATTTTGGGTCGTTTGTGATCCAAACAGGCGTCGCACGATCCCCCTTGGAATTAAGTGGGGGGGTACACCGATTTTATAGTTAAAAACGCTGCATATGACATACAAAATGAGAGGCTGCATGTTGAGCTCTATAGAATTAGGGATTGTGAGACAGAAAATCATGGTAGCTCTATAGAATTGAGTTGGGGACATGGAAAATAAGCAAACATTTCAAGTACAAACACTATACAATCGTAGGGCACAAGGTATTTTCGAACAGGTGTTTCTTCAATTATAGCAGGCTTTGGGTTGCAAAATCTGACTACGTTGGAAGCAGGAGCTCTAGAAACCTATTCCTGCATGAAAGCTACCACAATTCTATAGTAGCTCAACATTATCATTGACGAAGAATCCTCTTGACATGTAAAATTCCATCATGGCTTCACTATAAAATCAGACTTCTTTAGCTTGCCAATATGTTTTCATTCACAAAAATCCTCTCCAGAATCGAGGCTCGTAATTTCTGGTGTTCTCTATCAAATCAGATTCTCTGACATGCCACCTCCAACATGGGCAGATCATTATTTCTTTCAAACAATGTTTGTTTTGTGATGGTATCATCGATTTAGTAGTAAAAATACCAAGGGTGATGCTATATATATATATATGTTGTGACGTATGTGTTATAATAAGGTTTCTTCTCAATCGCCTCCTGTCCGTCGACGCAATGAGCCCACACAAGTGTTGGCAAGGTGAATTGCAACCTGCTTGAAGGCTTGAAGTATATCCGGATGAGTTTGCCGGATGAGTGGGTGCCAGCATGCGCCAGATTCAAAACACTAACTTTACAAATGTCGATACCACCTCCTCCAAAACCCTTTGGGCGCTCCGAATGTCAAACCCACCAGAACTGCCCCCGATCCACGCAAATCCAAGGAACCACGTCCTGCTCGGTATTCGAAGGGACCTGCGATGAAAACAGAGGACCAGTTTACCACAAACACAAAATACCTAGAACCTGAATGACCTCTGTTTTGGACCACCAACCACCCAAAATATTGCTTTTTCCTGTCAAAACAAGGGTCAATTGGGTTCCAGGTATATGTAGAAGGTTGATGAATTATAACCCCCCCGGGATCCAGAATGACGTTTTTGTGTATTTATCAAGAGTCTATAACTGTAAATCCTCCTACACCAAGTCCACCGTCTTCTTTCATGCAGTTCCCTCGGAATCTGCATGACTTACACCGGTCAGCTGCCCAGTGCGCTCTCCTCACGGGACCCGAAGAAACCGCTGTTCCGGAGTGGCAGGACTGACCCCAACGCCCCGGGCCCGCCAGGCTCTGGGCGTTGGGAGTCACCCGATGTCCCCTGAGAAACACCGATCTGCTCAGGCCGCGGATCTCCCAAGTGTGTCGCCCTCCGATCGATGAGCCTGGCACACGACGAAGATCTCCCCGAGGAAGAGAGCTAAAAACCTCAGACGCCCCGCACAACGCGCCGCATCTAGAAATCCATTGCAAAGCTTGGGAATCTCTTTCATGGACTTGATCTGGTGCAAAAAAGAAATTGTGTGATCTTTGAGGATCTCTGACCTTGCCCAGGCCAGTTCAGCACTCCAGTGTCTAAATTACACCTTCTTCGTCTTTGTCTTTGTCAGCCGTGAGATGTGAGCAACTACAAATACACACTCGATGTTGCCGGATTCACTGCAAGCCAATGAGTTTGGTGTTTCCCATCAGAACCTTCCAAGAACTACATGGCTCTCAATGTCTCAAGAATGCAAAGCCCGCTAGCCCGCTCGTGCCACTCTTGGCCCCTCACAGCCCGAGCATCGTCACGATCGTAAACGGCCTTGCAAAGGGATCACATGTGACTCGAGTCAATCCTTAAGATTAGAGAGAGGGACGCTGTGAGGGCCCGTGTTTTTCAGTGTTTTTGTGTGTTTTTTATTACTATATTTGGGCCTGTTACACAAAGGATATGAAGTCTGTAGTGAAACAGCTGGTCTTGCATCACATGTTCCAGCTTCAAAAACACAACAATTGATGCTAAGGCTGCTAAGAGTAGTGAGGCAGCTAAGGTAAACGTTGACCAAAAATAGTGTTATTGATCTTTCTGGTATCAACTTCAATGTGGTAACCCATTAGTAGGCCATACAAGTAATATTGTGTAACCATTATCAACCATTTTCTGGCACATATGACTTTTGCTTGTAATATCCTAATCTTTGTTTGGTTCACTTTCTCAATGTGACTAACAATATCATCAGTATCAGTATCATATTCATCATGTTCAATGTATCTATCTTTAGATGTTGAAATTTCTACAATTTGATGTTCTACAACTTGGAAAAAATCATTTGGTAATTTAATATCCACATGCTTGCTCACTCTCCAGCCTCCAATCTTATTGATAAAAGCCACTCACTTGGGTTCTTTTGATCTTCAGCTTTGATGGTGAAAACATCAATCTTAACACACTATACTGTAATACCAGCATGCTTCAGTTTAA